TTAGCTTCATAAATATCCTATTAATGTAACCATGTATGTTAATAGCCAAGATCTACTTCTAAAATGGCAAAGTAATGAAATAAACAAGCACAAAAATGAGATATCAATAATAAAGAATATATTAAACAAAATAGAGAATAAATAACTGCTGTTTTTTCTTTAAAATTTGATATTTCTTCTATTACTACCATTGTCCTTCTTACTTTAGTCATTCTGATTAACATTAAATAATTCGCAAATTAATATCCAAACCAAGATAGTATAAATGGTAACACAACTGTCAAATCAAGGAAGAATTCTCCTTTTATATAATGCCAAAATATATCCTTCTTTGAAGTATGTAAGATTCCTCTTGCATAATAACCTTTAAAGAAATTTAAAATTAATTCCATCAAAAATACACAACTTGGTAAAGTGCTAAATAATAAATAAACATTTCCTATTTATTCTTTGTTCAAATCAAAAGATAGTTGAAGTGGAACATATAAAATATTCACAATTGTTACAAGCATTAAGATTACATCCCAAACAAATAGAAATTTATCTGCTGGCAAGAGAACTGTTTAATTACTCTTAAGAAAAGTCCATATTCTCCACCAAAATGCATTTTTCTATTTCCCTTCATATTTTACTTCTCCATACTAAAAAATGAATTTAAATTATATCATACTTTTGTAGGTTTTGTATACAAAAGACCATTATACAAATAGTATTAAAATGAGCTACTAAGATCATGTATCAAATTGAAAATATCCTTATTTAAAATTTTAAACCTGTATTGTGTTGAGAAGTGTTTCATTTTTGTTATGAAAATGACAACTTTCTAAATTATTTTGAGTGGTTTCGATTTCCATACACTAATTATTTATTTGAATTTACTCATTATTCTCAAGTAATTGTATCTCTTTTTCAACACTATTCATAGCTTCCACTTCTAAAAGTTTATCCTCTTATTATTTTGCTTCTTTCCAAGCAAATTAGAGTAAGAATTTAGGTTTGTTCATTCTTAATCTTTTTATTAATTAGCTAATAATAATTATCACTATTTATTAGATAATATAAATTCCATTTAGAAATGAAACATCTAACGCTGAGATATATTAATTGAATGTGATTTTTATAAAGATGAAATCTCAACTTTTTAACGGATTTTTAAAATTCCTATTCTTAATTATGTCTTCTTAAATTTAACTTATGTTATATATTTTTTTTAGTCCCTAATAGAATAGGTTTATAAGCATAGATTTATGACAATAATGTTGAAAGAATTTAAATAAGCCAAATTAAATTGAAAAAATCTATATTGAAATTTTTTAATTAATAATAATTTATAATATAATTATTCTTAGAACTATATGATATTAATAAGTTATTTTATATCTATTGATAAATATAAAATAAAGTAATTAATTATAGTGAAATCAAATAATCGCTGTCTTCCTTATTGTAATTTACTTGAAAATTAATTAAATTTACAAAGTGTAGTTTATATATAAATTAATTTTACAAAATGTTGAACAAAGAAAGAATAAATAAAAGACTAAAAATCTTTTTAATTAATACATATATATTTAACTATCAAAATTAAGAGTTAAGTTTAATTGAGTAAGAAGGAATTGTACAAATTACAGAAAATATCAATAAATTGTAGAAGCAATCTATTTGTTATAAAAATAAGATATGAAATTTTAATTATTAAGAAATAATTAATAAATAAATAAATAGCAATCTTATTTTAATTAAGTAGACCAATTTAATAAAGTAAAATTAATTGATGAATATTGTGTTACTACTTAAAGAAATAGTGAAAGTAATGAATCTGATAATTATTTTAAAAAGGTTGAAATTTAAAAATTGTAAGAAAAATTTGGAATTTTGGTATACATATTAGAATAAATTGATGTATTTTAATTTTGTACTTTTAGATTAGAAAAAGAGGATCAGTTACTCAAATTCTTAAGTATAATGTTAATAATATAATTAATTAAATTTAAAGATTATATATAGGAGATTTATTCGACTCGATTCTATTAATTCTTCCAATTTAAATTATAATTCTCGTAATATAAGATGTCTGATTTTTATTTTCATTAATATTATTTGGTTGAATAAAATCCTTATGAATTAAGAAATAAAAAATGTATATATATATATGCAACATTTAAATGGTTTTAATAAATGTTATACTTGTAATTTAACAATTACTATTATAATAAGAAATATTATTATCCTTGGAATTATTTGTTATATTAAAATATATTTAAAAATTAAAGATTTAACATTATATTTAAAAGTCTTTATTTTTGAAAACAATATATAAATAATCATTTTTTTTTAAAAAAGCTATCTAATTTCATAGAGCCTGCTCCAATTTATTAAGTTTTTGGTTTAGAAGTTTTATTTGTTATATTAATTGCAGATTCTTGAGGTTTAATATCTTGGTTTTTTGTTTAAATTTCTTTAATTGGTTCTTCAATGATTGGATCATTCTTAATAATTAATTCTTCAATGATTGGTAATTAATTTAATTCTTTAGGTTAATTTTAACTTTGAGATTATTCTTATTGTTTACTCTTCAATATAATTTTAGGCTTCTTAATTACTTAATCTTATTATGGTTTTGAATCTTTATTTATAGTTTCTTAAGCTGCATTATTATTTTCATTAATTTATTTTAAAGAATCATTCTTGATTGGATCTGCTGATTTGAGTTATTTTGATAAATTAACTTATGTATTGAAATCTGAAGAATCATTTTTTTTCTTATGATCCAATCCATCAACCTTTTTATTTACAACTACTTTTTAGGATTCTACTGTCATAGCTTAAACTAAACTTGATAAATTCACTTCATGAACAGTCACTTTAAGTGGTGCTTATCCTCTAATATATATTAATGAATAGTATACCCAAATGAAGGTGGAAAGAGATCTTCATCTACAATCTGATTTTTATCTGCCAAAGCATATAATGAAATGTCCTTAATTTTCATATTCTTATTTATTTGATTTGCTGATAATAATGAGCTAACTAAACCATTTCCATCATTAGCTTATTATAATACAGTAAAAACAGCATCCACTTGTTAGAAATTCTTTTCATAATATGTATTTAAAGCTCTAAAATGAATTGAAACCAAAGAAATACTAAATAGCTTGAAGTCTTTCATCTGGAAATTTTTATAATAAATGAGTTCTTGTAACCTATTTTCTAAATATATCTATACCATTCTATCTGAACATATCTCATGTTTTATATATGAATATATATCTTCCATTTTAATTGTAAATGAGCGGGAGAAATTATTTAATTTATTTAACAAAATATATTGTGTTACTAATTCTTATAGTATGAAATATGATATATAATTTATAATGATATTTTATATATTCTTTATTCATTTTATAAGTCTAAAGTTATTAACTAATTTATTTGACTCCATAAAACTAATAAAAATGATCCAATCATTATTTATATTAAAATAGATAAAAGTATTTAATAAATAGAACTATGAATTTTAAAGTATTAATAAATATAATACTTAGCATTTATATTTCTATTAAATATTAAATTTCATTTAATATAAATATATAATTCTTTTAATTAAGTATGTTTATATACATCTTAAGTTTCAATAAATCAATTTTTGTATATATTTTTTTTAAATTACTGCAGATTATGAATAATGAATAAAAAATCTATTTTTTGATATCAATTATTAATTTTTCAGATTGAATAAAATATTAATGTCATAAATTTTGAATGTTAATAAATTATAGAATCAAAAATAAAACAATATAATTAATTTATCACATATATGATTATTAATTAAGGTATAATAATATTTATATATCATATCAAAACTTCTTTTAGATTGCTATCCACTTTTTGTGTTTTTTTGGAAAATGATATTATTACCATATTTTTGTAGTGATTTATTTATGTTTATCAAGTAACCTCTATTAAAAGCGAAATTCTGACAAATCTGTATTGTGATACAAATTTTGAATTCCTTATTCTAATTGTTCTTAAGTTAGGATTGGAAGAGCTTCTATATGCATGTCTTCTATGTCTTTATGTTTAGAATAATTAGTCTTAACTTATTGTTTTAAGATTTCATCATCTTATTTCTTTTTATCGTATCTCCTTTATAATTATAGCAACTTGCCTTCTGTATTGATAATTGCCATTAATTTATTCTCTCTATCTGTATCCTCAACAATTGTACTTAATTGAGACTAATCTGTTGAAATTCTATTTTTGATGTTAAGACTGTTCTCTTTAATCTCAATTCTCTTTAATTCACCTAATAAATATCTCCTTCTCTTAGTCATTAAGTCTAAGGCTTAATAGTTCATAAGCAATTACTTTTATCGTCCAATATTTTTTCGACTTATTTATTCAAGTAATGGTTAAGATAATCATTCTTTTTTTGAATTTGTAAATCCTCTCTTATATGTTATTCTAAGATATCTTTACTTTGAAATCCATTTAAAGAAATAGTTGCAGCTTTAGTGAGATTCATAAGTGCAACATCTGATAAACTCTTACGATATAATGGATTATCATCAACGTCCAGAAGTAATGAATTAATTATACCTGTTTATTTAATTTCAGGAAGTGAATCTTTGCTTACTAAAACAGTCTTTTTCCGTTTTAGTTCTTCTTATTTAATTAATTCAGCCCTCATTGCATCCCCCAATTCTGTAATTAATAATCTATTCATTTTAATGTCGAAAATTAAAATATTATGAAACGATTGATTATGTATTAAATATAAACGGTAATTATAGACAATAGTATTATGATATTGATTCATTAAAATTGAATAAATTAGAAATAATTAATATATATATATTACATAGAATAGTAGTTGTATAGAAAGTAAATCAATAAATATGATGAATTAGATAAATAAATTTAATTTATCAATTAATTGTAATGGAAATGTTTTTGCAATTTAGAGTTTAAAATTTAATGTGTGATATTAATATTTATAAATGTAATCTCGTTCATAAAGAAGAAGAAGAATATTGAAATAATGCATTCAAAAAAAGAGTAAAATAGAAGATAATGCTCATGTAACTTAGGAAATAGATTCTGAATACGAAGATGTAAGTGATATGGAGGAAGATGAACATATTTAATATGAAGATGAATTTGATGATGAATATGGTAAAATTATCAAAATAATTTAGTTAGAGAGTGAAGAAGGAGAAATCAATATAGATAGTGAAGATGAAGAAATATTGTAAAAAGAAGAGTAATCTTAAGAATAATCATAATAAAATCAATTATAATAATAACCTATATAATCAAAACTTAAGAGAAAAAAGAAAGGAATGGAATAAGAAAATCAAGAAAATTAAAAAAGAGTATGGTTTTATGATGAAGCTGAAAATTTAGATTTTGATAATAGAGCTTATAATATGTTACATAGAGTTACAACTGAATGGCCTTGTTTATCTTGTGATTTTGTATTAACTGAAGAAGAATAATAATAATATAAAAATAAGGAATATCAAAAAATGAATAAATATCCATATAGTGTTTATTTAGCTGCTGGTACTCAAGCAGCATAACCAACCAAAAATTAAATATACTTATTAAAATTATCAAAAATGCATAAAACTAAATATGATGATGATGAAGCATCTTAATCAGAAGAAGATAGTGAAGATGATAATCTTAGTAATGATGAAGAAGGTTAAGTACATTTGAGTAGTGTTACAGGATTAAAATGTGGAGTCAATAGAATTAAAACTATGAATGGTTAAGCAATTGCTGCTTATTGGAATGAAAATGGAGATGTTAATATTTTAGATCTTAATCCATTATATAAAAAACTTTAATCTAATTAATAATCTTAATTTAATTTATCATAATTACATCATAAAGTATTTAAAAATTAACATGAAGGATTTGCATTAGATTGGAGTCGTTTAAAAGTAGGTGATTTATTAAGTGGTTCAGTTGATGGTAAAATTTATTTATATCAATTAAATAATAATGATTGGATTAGAGAAAATAAAGCTTATGAATATCATAAGGGAAGTGTTGAAGATTTATAATTTTCACCAATTGAAAGTTTTGTATTTGCTTCATGTTCTACTGATGGAACTCTATGTATTGTTGATACAAGAGAAGGAAAACATAAATAAGCTTAAATCTTGGTTAAAGCTCATAATTGTGATGTTAATGTAATCTCATGGAATCAAGTATCAGCTACTCTTGTTNTTAAAATTTAATGTGTGATATTAATATTTATAAATGCAATCTCGTTCATAAAGAAGAAGAAGAATATTGAAATAATGCATTCAAAAAAAGAGTAAAATAGAAGACAATGCTCATGTAACTTAGGAAATAGATTCTGAATACGAGGATGTTAGTGAAATGGAGGAAGATGAACATATTCAATATGAAGATGAATTTGATGATGAATATGGTAAATTATCAAAATAATTTAGTTAGAGAGTGAAGAAGGAGAAATCAATATAGATAGTGAAGATGAAGAAATATTAGAAAAGGAAGAGTAATCTTAAGAATAATCATAATAAACTCAATAATAATAATAACCCATATAATAATAATCAAAACTCAAGAGAAAGAAGAAGGGTATGGAATAAGAGAATCAAGAAAATCAAAAGAGAGTATGGTTCTATGATGAAGCTGAAAATTTAGATTTTGATAATAGAGCTTATAATATGTTACATAGAGTCACAACTGAATGGCCTTGTTTATCTTGTGATTTTGTATTAACTGAAGAAGAATAATAATAATATAAAAATAAGGAATATCAAAAAATGAATAAATATCCATATAGTGTTTATTTAGCTGCTGGTACTCAAGCAGCATAACCAACCAAAAATTAAATATACTTATTAAAATTATCAAAAATGCATAAAACTAAATATGATGATGATGAAGCATCTTAATCAGAAGAAGATAGTGAAGATGATAATCTTAGTAATGATGAAGAAGGTTAAGTACATTTGAGTAGTGTTACAGGATTAAAATGTGGAGTCAATAGAATTAAAACTATGAATGGTTAAGCAATTGCTGCTTATTGGAATGAAAATGGAGATGTTAATATTTTAGATCTTAATCCATTATATAAAAAACTTTAATCTAATTAATAATCTTAATTTAATTTATCACAATTACATCATAAAGTATTTAAAAATTAACATGAAGGATTTGCATTAGATTGGAATCGTTTAAAAGTAGGTGATTTATTAAGTGGTTCTGTTGATGGTAAAATTTATTTATATCAATTAAATAATAATGATTGGATTAGAGAAAATAAAGCTTATGAATATCATAAGGGAAGTGTTGAAGATATATAATTTTCACCAATTGAAAGTTTTGTATTTGCTTCATGTTCTACTGATGGAACTTTATGTATTGTTGATACAAGAGAAGGAAAACATAAATAAGCTTAGATTTTAGTTAAAGCACATAATTGTGATGTTAATGTAATCTCATGGAATTAAGTATCAGCTACTCTTGTTGCAACAGGAGCTGATGATGGATGCTTTAAAATATGGGATTTAAAATATCCTAAAAATGATGCTATTTCTGAAATCTAATTCCATAATAAAGCTATTACTTCTATTTAATTTTAACCTAATAGTGATTCTAGTATAGCTGTATCATCAGAAGATCATAAATTATCTATTTGGGATTTTGCTGTTGAAAATGAAAATAATAATGAAGAAGATGTACCCGATTAATTAATGTTTGTACATTAAGGATAAAAGGATCTTAAAGAATTAAAATATCATCCTGTTTATTATGAAATGATAGTGAGTACTTCTGCTAATGGATTTAATGTATTTAAACCAACTTTAGATGAAGAAGAAAAGAAATCAGAATAATCTGAAGAAGATTAAGCTTAAATTCCTATTATAAAAGAGGAAGATCTAAATAAATATTTTTAATAAATGTCTATATAATGAAATATTATTATTAATAATCATTTGTGTATAATAACATACTCTTTTGACTCAATTAATTAGTGACATTATTCTAAATCTAAATTAAAAACTAAACAAATTTCATCCAATGTTTCTTAATTGAAAATCATATTTTTAATTGTTTCATTTGCATCCTTAAGTTTTTCATCATCTTTTAATTTCTAACCAATAAATTAACCTTCAATTCCTTTTTCAAATCTTTTTGAATATTCTAATGAACATTCCATTTATTATTCTTATTATTCTTTTGAATTTTTATCTTCTTCATTAAATCGTTCACTCATTTTAACATAATTAGATGGGGCAACTAAAAAAATATTCTCCAAATTTTATGCTTTCTATATCTAACTTGCACAAATAAAAAAATATTCATGAACTCTATTTAAAAAATTGTTCAATTATCCATATCTTATTAATTTAGTTAATGATATCTATAATATATTAAAATATATACAAATTCTAAAACTGCTTTATTATTTTCTATATAATCTTTAAGTATAAGTCCTCTTTTCATTTCAATATATAAAGTCTATAAATATTATTTAAGTAATTCAAAATCTAATGTCTATCCAAATTTCTATTAAAATGCTTCATGTTTAGTATTAATAATTTATAAAATATCCTCTTACTTAAATTCATGAGTAAAAAAGTTCTCATTAATTACATACATATTTGTGATTTTTATCATATCTACTAAACGAACTAAATTACATTCTATCATCTCTTTTATTGCAGTCTTTATTTATTCTGCCTTAAATTCTTTCAATTTTTAACAAATTGCTCCAACACAATTAATACCATTAATTTCAGGTATCAATTTCTCTAATATTGGATTAAAGGCTGTTTAAACTCCTTATTTTATATTTACTATAGGAAATGGTACTTAACTATATTTAATTATGATATTTTATGGAGGCTATTGTTATTATGGCAATCTTAAGAACATATATTATGAATCATCAAATTCTACAAAACTTTCATGTTCTGCACTTATATTAATATCTTAATATATTTATTTTATTAGAGTATGTATTTCTTCCTTATTTTCATCATTTCTATATATGTAATTTCTATTAACTTCTAGTTATGATATAACATATGCTAATTTTCTTACGATTTCAAAGTAAGCATCTTAATTTTTACAGAATTATTCTTTTTTCACTTTTATGGCAACACTTAATACATAAATGGCTCTTCTATAAACTGAACCATTTCTCATAACCATTGGAATATTTATTATATATTATGATTGATACTCTCTTTATTTATTAAATGATAAATACATCATAAGTAATTTACTTCCAAGTTCTTCTTTGGGTAACAAAAAATCTCCCAATATTTCAATATTTATTGCTTATCTAAATGGAAAAGATATTGATGTTTTTACTCATGTGGATACTATAGAATGGCTTATTTGCCTATTAAGTCATGGAATTCACACAGAATAATTGATTCAATCATAATAATTAATTTAATATCTCTTTAATTTCTTCTTTTAATCTTTTCCCAAAGGAAGGGCATTCATTTATATGTTTAGAAATCAAACTTAAAAAAAATTGGTTATCAATCTTCTTTAACTAAATCAATTTATTGAGTTATTATAATAATTTCCTAAAAAATTTAAGAATTGTTAACATACTCATTAAATTACTATTAAATTTCTATTGTACATTACTAATCTGATATATTAATATTCTTTTTTGGTTTATTATCTTATTGCTTTTTTATTTACTCTTTTGACAATGATTTTTATTATTTAGGTTATTTTTCTGGTCTATCAGAATTCTTATTAGTTTTTTGTTATGTATTTTTATTGAAAACTTATATTTCACATTCTTAAATTTGTTACTCTTTTTATGTTTCTTCAAAAACAGAACTGCTTTTCATAATATTTTCTAAATATTTATTTTAAACCTAGAAATCCATCTATCTATTTACATTGTTTAATTCATTGATAATATCTTTGAATTAATCACACTTACTGGCAGAAGAAGTTTTGAAATGTAATTTTGAATTTTGAATTTTTTTTTCTTCTTTTTTTTAAGGTATTTCATTTAAATCATGTTTACCCATAAAAATATCTGAGTATTTCAATGGTTCTTACATTTTGTCTTTAGTCAAATATCTATTGTATTTAGACAACAGTTCTCGTTCTTCATTATTTAATAATTCCATAGTTATTTATATATTTATGATCAAAACTGAGATCTATTAAAATTTGGCAATCGCTCAACTTCTTTGATAAATTCCACCATTTGCATAAATGACAATGATTATGTAAATTAACTCACAGTCTCATCTATTTCTTATTAAATTAATTTCAAATTCTTCATTTCTTTGTTTAATTGTAGTAAATACCTAAAATATTTAATATACAATAAACTTTTATGATATTTTACGATGATTCAATAATTTATCTATAATTGGAAGTACATTATATATTAAATTATTGTCTTCTATTTTTGTATATTTCTTAACAATCTCAACATAATTATTGAATTCCTCATCATCTAAATTAATTTGTTCAATTACAAGTGTTCCCTCCATCAATGGTACTAATTAACAATAATCCATAATTTCCTTTTAAAAAGTTTCTTTGGATATTTTTGATTGCGTATTTCATATAATCTTTTCTTTTAATTCCACAAGTTCCATATCTCATCTAAACTATAGTTTCTTTATAATATTACCATATATGAATCAATAACCAATTATGCTTGTTCAGATTAATTGCATTGCATTATCTAATCAATTGCATTAGAACTTCCAATAATCATACTATTAAGTATAGGATGTGAAATCAATAATGAAGTTAAATATTCAAATGATTTCTTGGTTGTTTTTTTATATTCTTGTATTTTATCATCCAAATCAGAAACCTAAAAAATAAGAACTTTTTTTTACTTTTTTTTCTAACAACTTCAAATAAACTTTCTTTCTTAATCTTGATTTTTTGGCACTCTATCTTAGACGTTTGTTTTTACATTCTTCATTCAATAATTCATTTGCTGAGCCTAACAATCCTGCTAATCCACCTCTTTTATCTTTTTAAAGTTCTTCAGAAGAACTATCTTCTTATAAATCCTCTTGTAATTCTTCATCAAACAAATTATCTCCTTTAACACTTAATAATGATGTTATTTTCTTTATATAAGCATTTTTAACATTTCCTTTAATTTCCTAAATTTAAGGTTGTTAGTCTCTTAAACTAGCATTAGATTAAATATGTTATAATGTAGATTTAGCTTTCTTAATCTTTTTGCTATTAGGTATGAATTACTAATTAAGATATGAAGTTTAGAGCATGTTTTAAGTGAAAAGATTTTATAAATTAAGCATCTTTTATTATTCATGTAATTGTTATAATAGTCTAGCATTCTAAGCTAAGAGCTATTCTTGATTGATGTTTGGCTAAATTATTGAGTTGTTTGTTTGATTATTGAAGCCAAGTATAAATTAATCTATATTATCTTCAAGAGGTTATTACATAAAAATTATTGAGTATAATCATAAGTGATAAGTTAATATTTGAAATTATAATGAATAATCAAAATATACAACATAATGTTTGGAATCAATAAACAATATAGATAAGGATAAAAAATGATTAATAAATTTTTAAGGAGTAGAAATTAAAATTGAATTTAGAACTTAATATTTATTGTATTCACTGTAGTAATATTTTTTATTTAAAATTCATAACTTAATCATACATTATTTATGATATTTGTCTTGTATAAAAAATTATTAGTTATTTTATTAACCCTGTAAACATTCATATATATATAAATGATATTTTGATATTTTATTTTAAAAATAATACTCTTTTTCATTTGTTTATGAAGTAGTAGTAATGAATATTGTTAATTTGATTTGATTATAACCGTTTTTGTATATGATTATCATTAACATTTTATATTAAGAGAGAAAACAATTGTTGATTATATATATTTGTTTATTAATGATCGTCACTTTTGTGGAAGCCATTGAGGATAAGTTAAAGTTAATCAATGTTGTGAATTTGGAATTAGACTTACTAATTTTGATACTATACTTTGTAAATTGTGCCCCTTTAATATTATAAGTACCTGTGCATTCCATTGGGAATAGTTTTCAATTCATTGAAATGTAAAAATCAGAGAATTTTGTACAATTTATTCTTTGGCTTATTTTTTACTATGATAATAACTAAGGAATGGTTCATATACATTTTTATTTGGGCCATCTTAATTTACTTTGTAAGTAAAATATTCAAAGATCCTTATTACCCAATATTTTTAGTTGGATTCATCATCCTGTCATACTGCCATGTGTATAGATTAATGGTAATTCTATATATTTGATTTCTATATAGTATGATTACTTGAGTTGGAAGATGNTTTATCTTTTTAAAGTTCTTCAGAAGAACTATCTTCTTATAAATCCTCTTGTAATTCTTCATCAAACAAATTATCTCCTTTAACACTTAATAATGATGTTATTTTCTTTATATAAGCATTTTTAACATTTCCTTTAATTTCCTAAATTTAAGGTTGTTAGTCTCTTAAACTAGCATTAGATTAAATATGTTATAATGTAGATTTAGCTTTCTTAATCTTTTTGCTATTAGGTATGAATTACTAATTAAGATATGAAGTTTAGAGCATGTTTTAAGTGAAAAGATTTTATAAATTAAGCATCTTTTATTATTCATGTAATTGTTATAATAGTCTAGCATTCTAAGCTAAGAGCTATTCTTGATTGATGTTTGGCTAAATTATTGAGTTGTTTGTTTGATTATTGAAGCCAAGTATAAATTAATCTATATTATCTTCAAGAGGTTATTACATAAAAATTATTGAGTATAATCATAAGTGATAAGTTAATATTTGAAATTATAATGAATAATCAAAATATACAACATAATGTTTGGAATCAATAAACAATATAGATAAGGATAAAAAATGATTAATAAATTTTTAAGGAGTAGAAATTAAAATTGAATTTAGAACTTAATATTTATTGTATTCACTGTAGTAATATTTTTTATTTAAAATTCATAACTTAATCATACATTATTTATGATATTTGTCTTGTATAAAAAATTATTAGTTATTTTATTAACCCTGTAAACATTCATATATATATAAATGATATTTTGATATTTTATTTTAAAAATAATACTCTTTTTCATTTGTTTATGAAGTAGTAGTAATGAATATTGTTAATTTGATTTGATTATAACCGTTTTTGTATATGATTATCATTAACATTTTATATTAAGAGAGAAAACAATTGTTGATTATATATATTTGTTTATTAATGATCGTCACTTTTGTGGAAGCCATTGAGGATAAGTTAAAGTTAATCAATGTTGTGAATTTGGAATTAGACTTACTAATTTTGATACTATACTTTGTAAATTGTGCCCCTTTAATATTATAAGTACCTGTGCATTCCATTGGGAATAGTTTTCAATTCATTGAAATGTAAAAATCAGAGAATTTTGTACAATTTATTCTTTGGCTTATTTTTTACTATGATAATAACTAAGGAATGGTTCATATACATTTTTATTTGGGCCATCTTAATTTACTTTGTAAGTAAAATATTCAAAGATCCTTATTACCCAATATTTTTAGTTGGATTCATCATCCTGTCATACTGCCATGTGTATAGATTAATGGTAATTCTATATATTTGATTTCTATATAGTATGATTACTTGAGTTGGAAGATGGATTATAATTGCATCCAAATGATGATAACTGCTCGTTATATATATTATGCAGTTGACAAGTCAAAAATCAAAGAGCATGATTCTTTCCTTATGTTCCTATCCTACGTTTTCATGTATCCTAACCTTTACCTTGCTCCACTTCCCTATGTAAGCTTTGTTAATCTGATAATTCGTAAAGAAGATTTTACTCATTATTCAATCAAACCTGCCCTCATTAACTTATTTAAGGCTATATTATTTACAGCTGGTGAATTGTTTATCAGACCTAAATTTGATACTGAGGTTTATTTTTCTGAAAACTGGACTCATTATAATTTATTACAAAAAGTTCTAATCACATAAGCAGTTTCAGTAGTATTGAGATTTCAATATTTTACTGCTTTTAAACACTCTTAAGCAGCTATGGATGCATTTGGAATTACTTATAATCCAGAAACAAAGAAATGTGATAGATTTCCAGTGGCTGATTATCATTATGATATGGAAAAGAATATAATGAAAAAAACAATGATGTGGAATTCAAATGTATAACTATGGTTAAGGTATTGTTTTTATGATAAATTGAATCATTTATTTGGATCACATACATATTATGTAACATTTTTAATTAGTTGTATTTGGTAAAATATTAATATATAAAATTAGGCATGGATTCTATATGACTTATTACTTATTTTTTGTGTTTTGGGCTATTAGTGTATAAATTTGCAAATATTTCTATAAAGCTTAATCAAAATTTTATTTGTATAATTATGAATTTATTTATAGCATTCCTGAAAAGATTAGACATGCTATATGTTGGTTCTGGAGTTGTATGACTATTGATCATTTTGCAACAGGTATGAAAGTATTGGATTGGAACAAGGCCATTGAATTCCATTAAAGTGTTAATTGGATAATACATATTTAAGCTTTGGTATTATTTGCATTCTTTGCAATTACAGGCTTTGGATAATAGAAGAAAATTAAAAAGAAGGATTGAATTATATTGAAACAAAAGTAGAAACTAAATACAATAAAAAAATTCAGAGTTATCTGTAACGAGCATAAGTTATGATTGAGTACAGTAGTGATATAACAAGCATCACAACAATTATAATTAAATAAGATGCAGGAACGAAATCGAATTGTGCCATCAATCTAACTGCTTCCCTTATGTTAAAAATAAGCTTACTAAAAGTCTAAGATTTTTCACTCTTTATAATGTATTAAGTATCAATTATCAATTTTTCTTAAATGGTAAATTCTTCTATTGGTTTACCATTCAAATATAATTGAACATCTAATAACAAATCATCAGATTTCGAAAACATATATATACTGATCGGTGGATCCCATGTATCCTTCATCTAAAACTCACCTACGCCCTCATCAACATCAACTTCAATATACTCTGCTTGCAATATGATAGAAGGGATCATTAGACCAATAAAGAACACAGCTATAAGCCTTTTTACTTATTCGAAATACACAGTAAGAAATGACATATTGTTCTCCTTTTAAACAACGAGAAATATTATTCTAAACTATCTGCAAAAGGATCATGTCTTAATTAATCTTTCTCATGTAAAAAGTATTTCTAATCAATTGGCCGAAATTCCATTCCTGATAATTGCACCTGATGTTGTTTCATTAATTATAAATAACAATTTCAAGTTCTTTATTTATGTAACCACTTAAACCAACCAAACTCAATCCAGCCTCTAATATTGACTACAAAGAATTATAGAAAACCCTTATTCATTTCTAAAGAGCATAACTTGAATTAGAAAAGACTCGTTAAGGCTCTCCTTTGAAATCTGTCTCCCCAATGAGAGAAATGATTAATTTCTAAGCATTACAAGATGCAGGACTTATTGAATTAAATGAAAAAAGTAAATAAGTAGATGGTGTTAAAATCACACTTGAAGAAATAGAAAAAGCATTCAAAATACTAGATGAAAAGAATAAAGGCACAAAAATTTCGTTACTTGAATTAAAAAAGAAAATACCTGCTATTAATCCCAATTTTCCAAAAAGTGAATACAAAGCATTAACACAAGGTAAACCAGAACTCAAGAGTAAAGATCTTTATGAATTACTTAAATAAAATGAATTATAAGATTTTGATCCACTTGAATAGGCCTTTTCACTACTTGATCCTAAAGGAGAGGGTAATTTAGATATTAATAGATTGGGAGAAGTGTTCAGTGTTCTAGGTTATGGTAAAATTGATAAGAGAGATCAAGAAATACTCTTAGAATGTTTAGATGTTGATAAAGATGGTAAAATTGGATTGTAAGATCTAAGAGAGATATTTGAATCAGAAAGACATAAACAATGATAATTATTAATATATTTAATAACTATGGATGAAGTTTTATCATAGATATCAAATTAAGTTTATGAATTTGATACTTTGGGATTAGTCTAACAATACATATTTCAATTATCAGAGAATTTTAAAGAAAATCATAATGCTTAAGTAGACATTTAGTAATTTGTAATATTTTTCATTAATAAAACTGATGAATAAGGAATTGAAGGATTAATACTAATCTCAAAACTTATAGAATTATATTAAGATATATTGTCTTAATAAAATGAAAAAGTACTTAAATTAAAACATATAACTGATTATTTAATAAGTAGTCAAGAAATTTGTAGTGAATATTTTAATGCTAAATTTCTACCTTCATAAAATAATAAAATTTAACTTACTCGTCATAATTTAACTGATATAGAAATTTAACCTCCTGAAATCTTAGGCTTAAATCCTAGTATGCTTAGAAGATTGTAAACATAACTCAAAATTGAAAATATTCATATGAATAATCAAATTATTTATGCAATAAAAGGAGATAATGATATTTTCTTAATTCTTTAATTTTGTGAAAGTGTTTGTATGTTACATGAATTTCAATTTAAAAAAATGTTATAACCAAGAAATATGATAGATGGAAATTTTGTACTCTATGGTTATTATTCAACTAAATAATAAAGATTAGGAGTAGTATTAAGAAATAACACATTGATATTCTGGGATAAAAGAGATAATTATTCATATGATTATTAAATAGAAACATAATTAGAATTAAAACTTATTTCATATATAGAAATTTAAGATTTATGGATAAGTTCAACAAATAATTGTTTATAAATATGGAATCTTGAATAAGGAAAATATTAAAATTTATAAAATCAAGTATTTTCTGATGGTATTATCTAATTATTAGAAGTTATACATTTATAAATGTTATTAGTAGCCTCAAATCCAAATATAATTAGTTGTTGGGATATGTTTGAATAGAAGTTTTTATTTAAATTTTAAGTATTGCATTAAATACTTTATCAAATTGTTTGTAGTAGATAATTCTAATTGATTTTTACAATTGGTTTTAACAATTATATATCCTGTTATGAATTACATGCTTAATATAACGATTATAATTTAAAATGCTAATTTTTAGGTCATTCTTCAACAGTTTAATGTATTGAATATATAGAATAAACTGCATTATTGATTTCTATTGATACTAAAAATGTGATTATATTATGGGATATACGTTCATAATAATAGACTCAAATAGTACATTTATAAACTAGAATTCTTACTAAGTAATTAAAGTTTTATTGTAATAAATTATGTCTAATTGCTAATATGTTATAAACTTTGAGTTTTGAAAAATAATTGCATCTAAATAAATAAATTAAATTATTATAAGTAATTTATGATTAATGGAATAAAAGAAATATTATAATAACTAAGGCAGATATTCGTATTTAAGATATAATAACTGGAAAGATATAATATATTTTAAGTGACTTTTAAAATGAGATCTCAGCATCATGTCTTATTGAACATGGATACTCAATTATAATTGGAACTATAGAAGGTGATTTATATAAGATTTCACTTAAGCATGGTTAAATCTTAGAAAAATGGGAATCATTTTATTAAGATGAGATTATATCTATTTAATATGATGAAACATACAAAATTTTACATATTGTTTCTATATAAGGAATTTTAAAATGTTTACCTTTAACTCAATTAAATGTTTGTAAAGATAATATTTATAAAGATAAATGGGCTATACGTCAACTTTCAGTGAATATTTGTATTAATATATGTCAACTCTCAATTTTATAAGGTTTATTAGCTGTAAGTTATGAAGATTTCATTTAAATTTGGAATTTGGAATATTATTGTGTATCAATATAAATATAATTAGAAGATAATGCTATTGTTACTTCTATGATATTTTGTGATTCTCTTCCACTTTTAATTATAGGAACTAATTAAGCTGATATTTTTATATTTTAATTAGTTTAAAAGAATGATAAATTGTATTGCACTTTAGAAGGTCATTTAAATATTGTAAAAGCTGTTTTAATTTAAAAATTAAAAAGTGTATATCCAGATCGTATAAGTATTATGAATAATTTGTTTTCAAAAACATCATTAGAATTAATTGAATTATATGATGAAGGGGATGAACAAATTGAAGTTAAACATCTTTTTAATAATAAATATAAGTTAATGACTCATGGATCTTTTGCATCTAGCTTATTAGTACAATATCATTAAGAAGAACTTAAATTATACATTGCTACAAATAGAGGATCAGCCTTAGTATTTAATATTACTGAATTACTTAATAAGAAAGTAATCATTCATATATATTATTTAGAATATAGTCAAGAAACTTGATTAAATTAATCAGAGACCTAATTATAATCCTTATAGAGTTGTTTACAATAATTTGTAAGGAAATTTTATTGATAATTATTAAATAGTTTAGAATCGTTTAATTAAAGATTAAGTTAAAAAGAGAGAATCTAAATTTGAATAGAGTAATAAAATTAAATAAAAGTTCAGAAATTCTTTAATTAGATATAGTATTCTAAAAGGATTGAAAGATAATCCTGAATTAGATATTACACATACCTTAAAGGAATCTATTTTTTCATTTGATGAATAACTTGAGACTGCTGATTAAATTCACAATGATATGATTATTTAATTAAACTTCCTTTATATTGATCCATATGAAATATTGTTCCATAAAAAAACTTAACTTTTGATATCTGGATGCATAGATGATACTGTAAAAGTATTCACAACAGATTTTATTTAAATTTGTTAATTTTCAATTCATAATCCTATCCCTTATTAATGGTAATCATTATTAAATGAGAAAAATAAATTAAAAGCTACAATATTGGTTTCTTTAGAATTACTTTAATAGATTTTACCTTAATTAAGTTTAGAAAAAAGAAAAGCATATGATATAGAGAATATGTTAAGATAAAATTCAATAAAACATATAAACAAAAACTCTAAATAATCTAAGATTTTGAAAAAAAAAGAGACTATTGGAAATTAATAGATTATATTAAAAGATTCTTTCTTAAATAAACGAAAAATCAGTTTATGCAATAATATGAAAATGCCTTAAATATCTAATTAATTACCACCATCCTTACGGTATTATGATGAAAAAATTAAATAAAGTAAATATCAATAAGAAATTCATGAATAAGATTTAAAAATTCAATAAAATCAACAAAAAAGAACATAAGGACTTTAAATTGAATTGTAAAGATAATAAAAAAAAGAAATATTAGATTATTTAACACCTGAGTCAAATGGGAATCAAAAATTCTTTGAAGATTTTTCAATTTAAGCTTTAAGTGCTAGATTAAAGACAGAATCAAGAACTCATTAGAGTAAAATAACTAAAACAACTAATGATACAAAAAGGACTTTTACTAGATAGAGTTTAGATTTTTTTGATTATGCTGAAAAGAAAGATATGCTAATAACTAGAAGTAAGATATCTTAGTCTCGATTTTAAACAAGAAGATAACATAATGATTTTCATAAGATTTTGAATGAATTACATGGTAAATTAAAAATTTCAAAAAAATAATCATGACTACTTTTTTTTCTTGATTTTTTTAATTATTTCTTTTTAAGGTTATTACTTATTTTATTTAGGTTATCTTTTGTTTTCACATTCTGTACATTAACAATGTGAAGTACACTTTTTTCCTCTTATAAAACATTCACAATAACCTTTCACACATTTTGTCTTCTTACATTTACATCCCCATACTTATTTTGTATCAAATGAATCTAAATCATGATGAGATGCTCTTTATTCTTTTAATTTAATTTATTCAACTGCTTTTAATACTTCTTCTTCATGTTTACCATCATTAAAACAATCATTACATTAACATTCATTTGTGCATAGTCTTCGATTATGAAAGCATGAACAATATAATTATAAACAATGTGTTTTAGAACAATGACAAGTTTTGAAATCATCTTCTTCAGTTGGAGAATCATCAACATTATAATTAGTTTTATTGAATTTTCTTCGAGTTTATATATAAGGTACTTATTCTACCTTTTCAATTTACTTCATTTCCATTATATTTTAATCTACTTTTTCTTTATGCTTCTTTAAAGGAGATGGACTAGTTAATTCAATTGACATCTATTTTCTTAATTAATGCTAACAATCATCAATAGACATTTATGAGCTATGTAAATCATTTTATTTTATACAAGAATTGTAATAATTAAGGACCAGGCTGTATATCTAATTATTCTACAGAAGGCAAAGAACTTTAGGTATGTGNTAGATTATATTAAAAGATTCTTTCTTAAATAAACGAAAAATCAGTTTATGCAATAATATGAAAATGCCTTAAATATCTAATTAATTACCACCATCCTTACGGTATTATGATGAAAAAATTAAATAAAGTAAATATCAATAAGAAATTCATGAATAAGATTTAAAAATTCAATAAAATCAACAAAAAAGAACATAAGGACTTTAAATTGAATTGTAAAGATAATAAAAAAAAGAAATATTAGATTATTTAACACCTGAGTCAAATGGGAATCAAAAATTCTTTGAAGATTTTTCAATTTAAGCTTTAAGTGCTAGATTAAAGACAGAATCAAGAACTCATTAGAGTAAAATAACTAAAACAACTAATGATACAAAAAGGACTTTTACTAGATAGAGTTTAGATTTTTTTGATTATGCTGAAAAGAAAGATATGCTAATAACTAGAAGTAAGATATCTTAGTCTCGATTTTAAACAAGAAGATAACATAATGATTTTCATAAGATTTTGAATGAATTACATGGTAAATTAAAAATTTCAAAAAAATAATCATGACTACTTTTTTTTCTTGATTTTTTTAATTATTTCTTTTTAAGGTTATTACTTATTTTATTTAGGTTATCTTTTGTTTTCACATTCTGTACATTAACAATGTGAAGTACACTTTTTTCCTCTTATAAAACATTCACAATAACCTTTCACACATTTTGTCTTCTTACATTTACATCCCCATACTTATTTTGTATCAAATGAATCTAAATCATGATGAGATGCTCTTTATTCTTTTAATTTAATTTATTCAACTGCTTTTAATACTTCTTCTTCATGTTTACCATCATTAAAACAATCATTACATTAACATTCATTTGTGCATAGTCTTCGATTATGAAAGCATGAACAATATAATTATAAACAATGTGTTTTAGAACAATGACAAGTTTTGAAATCATCTTCTTCAGTTGGAGAATCATCAACATTATAATTAGTTTTATTGAATTTTCTTCGAGTTTATATATAAGGTACTTATTCTACCTTTTCAATTTACTTCATTTCCATTATATTTTAATCTACTTTTTCTTTATGCTTCTTTAAAGGAGATGGACTAGTTAATTCAATTGACATCTATTTTCTTAATTAATGCTAACAATCATCAATAGACATTTATGAGCTATGTAAATCATTTTATTTTATACAAGAATTGTAATAATTAAGGACCAGGCTGTATATCTAATTATTCTACAGAAGGCAAAGAACTTTAGGTATGTGGCTGTAATAATTCTAGTTTTTCATCTACTCTTTTTTAGTTTACATCTTTTTGATTCTCTTCATTTATTTTCAATTCTGATGGAAATTAAAATATATCATTATTGTTAGAGCTATCCTAATTTTTCATCCTTAATTTTAATTAAAGTAATAAGTATTAAGTCTTTAATCAATAATATACAAAATTTGTTATGTACATTTAATTATTTGTAAAATTAAAGATAATTTAACTAGTCATCTTATAATTATTATATATACGTTAATTTAATACATGAATTTAGAAGAAACTCTCTTAATTCTTTTTGAAAGGACACTAGAATCAAATAAGGATGATCATTTACAAACAATACTTGCAAGTCAAGCTAAAATTATATAGTAAAAGAAAGAAAATGTCACTCCTGTTTAATCCTAAACATCTGCCATTTAGAAAAAGTTATAAGTTATAGAGAAGAATTTTATAAATTAAGATGCTTTTAAAAAGAGAAGAAAATCTAAATATGACCATCGTTCTAATACTGGCTCACAACATGACAATGAAGAAGTTCCAACAATCATGCATAATGAAGATAATCAAGAAATAATTACTGATTAGATTAGTTTATAAAAGTTAAAAAGTGATAATTCAAAATTACAAAAACAAATTACAGAATTGGAATATGAATAAAGAGAAAAATATCTAAAAAATTGTAATGAAATGGAATAAATTAATAAAGAATAAAAGTTGTTATTGGAAAATGATAAAAAACTTAATGAAAAACAAAGAAAATTAAATTAACGATCATAGTTACTATAAAATAAACAATAAAATTTACATAAATAAGAATTCAATTATTATAATCAATAATAAAATATAGATGAATGTTAATAGGAATAATAAAGATATGTATAAATTTATTTAATTTAATAGGATAATTAATTGAATAATAGAAGAGATGAAATGGAAAAGCTACAAATTAAATTAAATAGTTTTGTATCACAATTACTGAGTCTACAAAGAAATAAAAATAAAGTTCAGTGTTAGTTAAATGTATAAATTGATGCTGTTGAATAATTGGCTTAATTTATACTTAAAGAACGTTCAAATTTATAATAGGATTAACAATATCTAAGATAATTCAAAGAAAAGGTTTTAGAAGAAAAGAAACAAGTTCTATAAATGTAAGATTAACTATCATGAATTATATATAATATTTTACTATAAACAAATTAATAAATCAAATTGTAGCAATTGTTAATCCAATACTAATTGTTACACATGATAAAATCTTCAATCCTAAATTATGTAATGATGCTTATTTCCCAATATTTAAATATTTCTTAAGTAAATAAGCTAAAAACAAATTAATAATTAAATTCAATGAAGACTCACTGGCACTTACAACTCCTGCCTAAAATATATTTAAAATAATATACCTAATAATATGTTTAATAAGCATAAACTGAACTGAAATAACCAAATAGAGTCATTATTTCACCTATGACAGTACCTACAATTAAATTTTTTGGTTTATTAAACAATTAAATCATTTCTAATTACATTTGCTTATTGAAATTCAATTTAAATGTTTATATGATAACAAACATAATACGTGTAAGAATAAAGAATTCCATATTTCCATATATATTATATTATTATCCTTCATTTTCTCCTTTTCCAACATAACTTATTATATTAGTATATATAGCATGTGACATATCTGAAATGATAGCAAATTTAACAAATGGTTGAGACCAAAATTAAAATTAGAATATTTTAATCAAATGTCCATCTGTGGCTGGAGCTAAACCACCAAGAAGTATTAAAAAATAGGCAAGTAAATGTAAATAACTGGATAAATAAGGCCTATTAGATAGATAGTTTTAGAGAATTGAGAATAAAAATGCAAAAATTGAAGAAAACTAATTAACAACATATAAATACTTATAAAAATGGTAATATGACTGTACTAGATGAATTCTCAAAGGCTCTAATTATGAAATGATAATGATAATAAGAGAATATTCCACTTATTATCAATAAAGGTAATGATTAAACGGATCCGAAAACTGTATAATTGCCTACTAACTCTGAATACTGAGGTCCAATCAACTCTATATAAATAAAGTATCCAAATATCTAAATATGTTTTATTATTATTACAATAATATAAGTAGTTAATGCACATAATAACATTGTTTAGGAATGAGTGAGATGAATGCTTGATGGTAATTACTATTTCTTTTATGGCAATTCTGATTCTTAACTATCCAAAATGACATCGAAAGCAGTGTCTGCACTTGCCCAACAAAATGCAGATGCTATAACTGCTGAAATCCAAGACATTGATTTACCCATATAAATTATTATATAATCATTTTTATTATTTTGATTTTCTTATTGCATCCAAAACTGCCTCTTTATCTCCAGCATCTACATTTTATAATAGTTAAAATAATCTCTTTTTTCTCTCTTAAATTTCTGCTTCATTATGTTATATTCCTAATTCTTCTTCTAAATCTGGTATATCATTTGGATCCACTCCATCAGACTCATCATCTTCTCCTTTTTATTATTCCTCTTCCTCTTCTTCTTCTTCTTCATCTTCTTTCAATTCTTTTTCTTTCTCCTCCAATTTAGTCTTGAATTCAGTCAAAAATTTATTGCATTTACCAATTAATGGATTGTTAGGATCAATCTTCAATACTTTTATTATCATAATTATATTACTTTTTTGAATAATAACATGTGCTTCCTAATATTTGCTATTCTTCATACATGTTAAAAATTCCATTTTTAATTCAAGTATTTCATGATTTGTTTAATCCATTTTTATAAATTAAAGAATATGAAAGAAGTTTTAATAAAATATCTAATCAAGAAATCTTTATATTATAGTGATTTTAACTTATTTCAAAAAAACCTTTATTTCATTGAATAAGGAAAGTATATTAAAGTCTTCCTTCAAAAATTTTGACAAGAATGTAAAATTTATGTGATTTAATGGCTTTATTAATTATTTAATTTGGTAATTTTATTTTGAAAATCTATTGTTTACTTGGTTATCATAGAACATGTAAATCTTTATCATAAATATTCATTAAATTAAAAAATTATCTTCTTTTAACAAGTATTTGAGGTATCTTTTATTCAGCATAATATACTTAATCCAAAAAAGATATTAAATAGCTCATCATCCAACAAGACATTTAAACCTACTTAGATATATCAAAGGGAGAGGATTAAATTTCTTAAAATTACTAATTCCCATTAGTGAATAGACAATCAACTATTTAACAGGATAAAATACATCCACTCTTAAGAATAAATCTAATTCAATTAAACCTCTTGAATATAAATCATATATTATTTATTTAGTAGAATATACCATATTTATGTAATTTATGGAGACTCCTACAAGAATTAATAAGTTCTAATATTGTTCAATATTAATATCATAGAATTAATTCAAGATTTAAAATATAAATTATACATACGTAATTCTTTTGTAACAGTTAGATTAGTCTAACCATCAACATAAAATAAGACAATCTATTATTCATATTGATTCTAGCTATTCAGAAAGTACTACCAAAATATTTGAATTTAATAGGTATAGCCATGTCCTTTTTGAGTATTAATTAGAAGGATAATTTTTAATATTTTACAAAGAGATTTTGTTTGCAATTAATTACAAAATTATTTTATAATTAATTTAACTAAAAATTCATTATAACATCTGATTATTAATTAATAGTTATTTATTAATGATTTTGATTAAGAGGTACTTATATATTGAATTGCTTATTATTAAATTTATAAGGCGATTCAATTTAACATCATTAATCAAAAATAAGATTACTGAATAATTAAAATAATTATTAATAAAAAATATGATTAGAGCTTCTCCATCATATTCATTAGATAACAGTTTTTAATTCAATTTTTTGAAGAAACAAATTTGTAAACCCATTATTTAGATAAAATCACTCGTTAAAAATAGAAAAACTAGACCTAAAAGTTAGGAGGCTACTGATTCTGATTAATAAAATTTTAGTAGTATTCAAGGTCCTTCTAGAAGAAAAAGTTGTTACTGCAATTAATGTGGATGTATGGGAAAGAAATAATTACAATTTATGGATCTAAAATTATCTAAATAACCTAAAATGATTAATAAAAGAGCATAATGTAATATTGATAGAAGATGCACACTCAATATATAGAGCATAAGTAAATTGAATTCAATATTTAGAGATCGTAGTGTATTTTATCGTAGAAACACTTAAAAAAATTCAGAAAAGGTCGATAATTTAAAATCTCCAACTTATGATTTAAGTGATTCCAAGAGTCCTGGATGGTTTATTAGACAAATGGTAATGAGAAAATCAACAATAAATGTTTAAAAACTAGTGGAAAAATCTCATTCAAAATATTCCAATCAGTAATCTAATAAAAAGATTATGGTTGATGATCTACTAAGCCCTAAAAGCCAATAAACCATTCATGTGCCAACTAGTACTCGTACTGTGTATCAAAAGTGTTTCAATGATAATTCTTGTGTTAGAATAAGGACTGTTGCAGGATTTGATTGTGAGAACAATATAAATTCACCAAATCATAGAGAGATACCTAAATTATCTCCTTATCTTAGTTTTAGATAGATTAATTTCAACCTACTAGTACCTTTAAAATTGAAAAGCAAATCTACATCAAGAAAAACCAATAAAAAAATATTTTTCCATTCTAAAGTATAAAATTGATTATAATTTCTATCTTTATAATTTCATTGTATTATCTATCTTTTTATTTTAAACAATTTATTGAATATTTATCCTTATTACAAATTAAAAATCAAAATAAGACTATATAAAAAAAGATTAGGAAATATATATTATATAGAACCAAATTTATAATTAAATGATAATCTTAAAAGTAGAAGAAAAGTTGTAAATGTGATTAATGTGGAAACAATGGTGAATTTTAAATAAGATTTCATGATGTTCATATCTCATAATGGTCTTATTAATCATAATTAATTAGTTAGATATAACTAAAATACTAGATTAATTATAAGGCAGATTACAAACATGTTTAATAATAATTATGAGAAATTTGATTTATTATCTAAAAAAAGAAGAAAAAGCTGTTATTGTATTGAATATGATTATATGAATAGAAAAATTAAAATATTCCATTATATAAGACAATTTCTATCAATAATTGTAAGAAATAAAGAAAAGTTCTATATATTCGTGATATCAAACACTAATATATATAATAAATATTTTTAATTTTAGAAACAAAAAGTCAATTTTTTAGGAATATTAAATATTAAAATCATGTATTATAATTTAATCATTAATCTTCCAAAATAACTACTAGATTACTTAAGTAATCAAAACTAAAATTATCTAATTTGGAATTGAAACTAACTTTGACTCCATAATTAATACTCCTTTTAGTGATTAATCCTCACTATAATAATACTAAATGGCATCTATTTCAATCCATATTTTGGATCCCCTAAAAAGTTTTTTTCCTCACCTTGAAATTTTGTATCAAAATTGCTTACTATAATTAATTAAATAAAAAATTTATAAGAGGGTTTGAGAAGATCTTAATTAATAAAACGGAATTGATTTATATATTAGAACTTCTTTTTTTTCTTAATTAATGGTTATTAAAAATAATGAAAAATATCTCATCCTCATAAAATCTTTAAGCTTTATCTTTGATTGATTCTTATTATGTAGTTTTAAATGACAGGAAGAGAATTCGTCAAACTACAAATTTCTAATCTGCCTAAAGAAAATTCAAAGAAAAGAGTGTAAAAATTAGAAGAAAAAGTTGTCATTGTTAATTATGTGGGGAAATGAGTGCATTATAATTTAATATGATGAATGTTCCTTTCTAAAAAAAAGAATAAATAATTGAAAAAGTCAAAAAGTAAAATTAAGAAACTCCTTGCTAATTAAAAGGTATAACTTTATTTTGTATAATATTAGAGAGAAGAAGTATTTTTTATCAATTACAATCATTAAAATCAACAGAGAATACTAATGTAAGACTTTCTCTCTAGATTCATGGAATTAGCAAGAATTTTTGTAGACCAAGCACAATTAAACAATTAATAGCGGAAAGTAATTAAAGATCAAGAAGAGGAAGTCTCTATGGTAGCTACTAAGGTTAAACTTCGACATCTGATAATCATTCAGTAAAATCTCTCAGTATAAATATTTTTCAAGATTAAAGTCCATTAAAAACTTAATCACCTAATAATGAAACTATCACAAATAGAAACACTATTTTGAGTTCAAAATAAAATTTAATGAAAAATACCTATTTCTCTTAATCAGTTCGTTCACTTAAAACAACTTAATAATCATAATTTAATAAATATAAAGGTTGTATATTGCCTAAACTTAATTAAAAAAAGCAAGAAGACTGATTCTTAGATATATAATCAAATGAATATATATATTTTCTTTAAGAATTTCTTTTTATATAATCGATTTTATATGTCTTACTTTTGAAAATCACTGAAGTTTATTTAGAAATGATTTTAGAGTTGTCTATATATAAGAAAATTTAATTTTTAAACAAGTTTCTTTATCTTGTTATATCATTAAATAAAATTATTATAAAATGTCATTGACCTTGAATGAATTTATCAAAAAATTAAAAGCTAAAGAATTCAAAAAAATAACAATTGCAGCAGGTGCAGGTATAAGTGTTGCTGCTGGACTAAGTGATTATAGAAGTAAGGATACAGGATTATATGATTAACTAAAAAAATTTAATTTAAGCAATCCAGAATAGGTTTATGATATTAATGTGTTTAGAAAGAATCCATAATTATACTATTCAGTATGCAAAGAATTTGGAACACATAATTAAAATTTACAACCAACTTTAGCTCATTAATTTATTTATCATTTAGATAGAAATGATTAATTATTAAATTGCTTTACTTAAAATATTGACGGTTTAGAATTAGCTGCAGGAGTTAGAGAATCTAAAGTTATATAAGTTCATGGACATAGAAGAACTGCAAGTTGTATAGATTGTAAGAAAACTTATTGTGTAAAAACCTTTTATTAAAATGTTGATAAAAATGAGATAATGAAATGTGTTGATTGCAATGGTTTGATTAAACCTGATGTAGTATTTTTTGGATAGTCACTTCCATAACTATATTTTCAAAAATTACCTGAAATTTCATTGAGTGATTTAGTTATTATTATGGGAACTAGTCTTTAAGTTTAACCATTTTCAAATATGATTTATAGGATAAATGAAAATGTCCCAATAGTTTTAATTAATAAAGAAACTAATTTGAAAAGATTGGACCCTATTAATAATAAATTGTTAATAAAAGGCGATGTTTAGGATATAATATCCTCAATCATGAAATAATTGTGATATTAATGGTTCAATTATTTTCCTGCTATAAACATTATCTATATCTTTAAGTAATAATGAATTGCCAATAGGGCTTTGTTATTATTCAAATTTTAATTTAGCTAATTAATTTATTATTTATAATTAATTATCTCCATATATCATCATACTTCTCTATATATACTCATTTTCTTAATGAATAAAAAAAACAATCAGAGTCTTACATTCTTCTCTTATCATAAATTCATTGAATTCATTTATTAATTAATTTTCATTATATTTCTACAACAAGTCTTATAATTTGATAAAAATCACACAATATCCAACAGTATAAAACTTTTTATAATCTTTGAGTAATTGTTAAGAGAGGGAGAGTTGCAAATTCAATTTGACATCATATTTCAAATCTGTAAGATATTAATATTCCATTTAAGCATTAAATTATGGATAGAATGAATGGCATAAATCAAAAATTTATTTATCTTTATCCACCCATCTAATTTGATATTAATTTTATTGAAAATTGAATGTATCTATCAATATTGTTTTCATTATCAATTAGGATATTTCTACAATTTCTTATTTACATTTATAATTCTTGTCTAATTACATATATTCTGCCACCAAAGTTATTGCAGAACCTACTTTTTCTATCTTTTTAAATTGATTAAATTACTATCCTTTATCCTCATGATGATCGATACAACCTATTTGATTATTTGTATATTTTTTATCATTATGATCATAAAGAATTAAATCATATTAATTTAAATCCACATCATTAATAAATATCAAATCATCAACATTGAATAAATTAATTGTTTCAAAATGAAATCCAAATGATTGTCTATTATAATTAATGATTGGTGCTGTTGGGATATTAAATTTTGTCATATGATAGGCTAAAAGAATTGATCCAACACATGAATCAATGTCAGCTGTTGCATTGCCTAACACCAATTACTTTACATTCTAAAGCAATTTGATATTTCTTAAAAATTGATTAATCATTATAATATATATATATTTATAAAATACATATATAAATTTAGAAAATGTCAAATATTGAAGAATTCATAGATTTAATTAGTTATGCACCTATAGATGTAAGAAGGGCCTTCAGTAAAGTCCGAGAGTTGGCAAATTTAGAAAAAAAATATGAAGAAACTTTAGAATCAACATAAAACTTAGTTTTTAAAGTAAAATCAGTAGATTCCTCAGGAGAGAATGGACAATTTATTATATAATTGAAAGAATAAATCTAAAGAAATCATTTATAATTACTTGCTTTACATAGAGAAAGAATTGCAGCTTTAGAAATTATTTAATAAAATTATTAAAAATATATAGCAACACTTGATATTGAGGGAGAGAAATTTTTGGAAGAACTAAAATAATTGCCAAGAGAATAAGAAGATATATCTCGTAAATCTCAAAGAGATGTAAAGGTTGAACCTCCTGTTATGGTTCAAAAGAGTGACAAGGTTAAAAAAACTAAAAGACCATTATAAGATGAATAAGTTGAAGAAGCCTAATAACATACATATTGTGTTTGTTTATAACCTAGTTATGGAACTATGGTTGCTTGTGATTCAAAAAATTGCTAAATAGAATGGTTTCATTTATCATGTGTAGGATTAACTGATGTTCCAGATGAAAAGACTAAATGGTTTTGTCCACATTGTAGAATGATGAGATGATATATTGTTTTGTAATTAAACAATAAAATACAAAAAGAAATCCAAAATTTTATTCCTCTATAAAATATAGAAAATAACCATTTTTTATTAATTTATTATTCATTGTATTATGGATTATATCAATATTCTTTTCATCCAATATATTTTAATATAATAAATTTATTATTAATTAGAATAATTACTTTAGATTAATTCAACCCAATCCATCTTAAAAAAAATTCTTTAGTATCATTAAATATTCAGAATTATTATTTATTAATTTTTGATTTTATATTTCATTATGGTGATAGATATTCTCACCATTAAGATGTTATTATTAACTAATATATACTAAAAGGTAGTTATTTATTTTAATAACTAAATTTTACAATATTTCTCTTAAATAAAATAGAGATTTATTTGTTTTGACATTATCTTATAGTTATTATATTCTATTTTAATCTTTCAACACAAGCTATATTTATAATATTAAATTCTCATTAAAAGTTGAACTTTAACCATTTAAAGTATATATTTTATTAACTCTACTTTAAAATTTTATATTGCCTTTGATATTCAATTTCACTAGAATTAGATGAAATTTTTGTGAATTTATTTTTCAATAATAAAGATTATTTAAATTTCAAATTTATTTGAGTAATTGGTCATTTATTGTATTGAATTAATTGATCCAAAATTCATATTGTTTCTTTATGTTTTAATATTGGAACTGGAATAACAATCATTTTAATAATATTATTAAAATTATTATTTTAATTCTCTATTAGAATTAAATCCAAAATTTCCTCATGCTAATTAATTATTCTTATTTCATCCTATTTTCTCTACTTCTTAAAATATAATTATATCTCTTTCTCTATTCTCAAAAATAGCTAATGAAAGAAGAAACTAAGTCATACAACTGTACATATTTGATACTTAATACTAATAAAAATATCACCAAATTATGATCTATCCACAATTCATTCAGTATAGAGTGAAATTAACCCATTTTTATTATTAGCAATTATTACCAATTCATGTTATCAACATTGTTAATTCATGTCCATTATTTTTGTAATACAATCCTAATGTATGTATAAACAATCTAATTTTTTAGATATCCCTATTTAAAGCTACTAAGAGTTATTTTCAAGTTTTAAGGACACTTTTTTTTTCCATTCTAAATATTGTTTAACCTCTAAGTTGAATTATCTATTGAAATTGAAAAAAATTTAGATTTTCTAAATTTCAATTTTGTATCTTAACGCTAAATTTTTGTTTAAATAAATTCACATCATTTAATTAAAATAAATAGTAATTTATAATAATTGGTAAGGGTTAAAGTATATGTTTAAGCTTATTGGTTATATCAATACCCTAAAACAATTATATTATTAAATATATGATAAAAGTATCTAAATAAAGCTGACCATCCCTATTATTATATAACTGATATCAAATATGTTTTAAGATACAATGTTAGATTTGAAAAGTAAATTATGGTTCAATTTACTATCGAAAATAGTTATTTATTTATATTAATTATAAATATTAAATTAGTTCCTGAATTTAGTCTGAGAACATAACTTATTTTTATTTATAAGAAAATAATATTATATTATAATAATATAAATAATTCCTTTTTATAATTCTATTAAAAATAAAATACTTTAAAAAATAAATTATTTAAATTTAATCACTTCAATAGAATCATGCTTCTAATTTTAAGTCAGATTCTTAAATTAATGATGAATTTTATTGTTAGGTAGTCTCATACTATTTTAGTAATTGAGACATTAAATCTTACAAATTATTTTAGTGTACATCTTTATCATCCTTTGGTATAATACATTTAGATATTTTTATTTATTTAGATGAAGGTGATTTAAATCTCTTAGGACTTTTTCTTGGACTTCTTTTTGGACTTGTTTTAATAAGTGCTTTAGATTAATTAAGTTTGTAAGATGTTTTTTTAGGTCTTTTAATTTGACTATTCTCTTCACTTGATGTTTTCTCATTTTAGCTAGCTTTCTTTTTATGTATATCACAAAAGAATTTGAATTGACTTTCAATTAATTTTCCTATAATTTTAATAATAAAATTAAATACCAGTTGAAGAACTTTTCATGAGACATGTAAAATGAAATGCTTCTGGACATACAGCACAACATACAGTAGCTCCAGTTCTACTACATAAGAAACATTTCTAAATTAAATAATTTTAATTACAGTTTATTTTGATTTATTAACTTCTTCATCAATATTAGTAGGATCACATTATCCTTATTTATTAAAGAAAACTAAATTTTAACTCCATAATCCACACATTTCATGTAAATCAAATTTATCATTTTAGTTTCTATTAGATGGGATTTACAAAAGAGGACCTAAATTAGAGTCATTTGCTTCTAAACCACAAAAAATACAATTTCCTTCATCTTTTTTTGGATATTATAATTTTTAATAAGAAAATTTTTGTAATCTTCCAAATGTTATAATTTAATCTTTATTATTATTATCTTTATTATTATTATCTTTATTATTATCTTTATTATTATCTTTGTTTTATTTTAATTTAGATTTTTAATTATCAGTTTATAATTCTAATTGAGGAGCACTTTGAATTTTTAATTAATTATTTTCTTTTTATTATTAGTTGCCTTATTGTTATTGAAATACTAATAAATTTTACTATGATTATTATTGCTGATTATTTAATTAATTAATTATTTAATTATGTTAGTTAAGGTTTGAAGATGTTTAATTTTTTTGCCCTCCATTTTATGCTTATTTAAATATTGGAAAATATTTAGTTTCTTAAGGGATTCCTTTTTATACTAATTTTAAGTCTGTTTATTTATTTATACATTCTTATTCATTAATATCCTCTATGATGAAAGTTTGTGGATTGGAGGGAATCATTTCTTTTAATTCTCTTAATTATTTATCAATTTCTTTATGAGTTTTATTGAAGAATTCTAGTATTTTGAGTTAATTTAATTATTATTTATCTAGTTATTTCATACTATTTGATTCATCCATAATTGAATTAACATGAAATCTTCTATCCAATTTTTCTTATTATTTTCTTTTGAGATAATTTGTAAATTTTTGTATAGTAGCTTTTGTCAAGGCTAATAATTAATCAGCATCAGAAATAGCTTATTCAATTTCTTCTGCCGCTTATTCTAAGTATAAATTCATAATAAAAGAATGATTATATTATAAAAATCAAATAATTGAAAGGAATTTAATGAATATAATTAATTATTTCAAAAAAAGAATTTACAATAAAAATTAATTTTTAATTAAAAAAGTCCATTCATCTTAACATAAGACCTAGATACTTATTCAATTGATTTCATCTTATTAATATTACAAAGATAATATTATTTAATAAATACCAATATAAAACTATTTCAATCAACTTTTCTATTCATCCTTTTCATAAATTTTTCAAATTCAAAAATTTTACGCTTACTATTTAAATTCTCATTTATGTTGTATGTTGACACATTTTAATGACTATTATCTTTATCAAACTATTTGGAAAATTTGTTATTATTAATATTAATTAGATTAATATCTTCCATATCTGCTCCTGTTTTTTATACTCAGCCAAAATATAGATCTTCTTACATTATACTCTAATCAATTCAATACTTCAAATGTATCATTGAGAATTTTGAATAATAATGATTGTAAAAATTTTTAAAATATTTAGTCAAGTATGATTGGTATTAACTTATATTATAGTAAAAAATACTCATTTCTATTATTGTTCATAGGGTTAATCATTTGATTAATGTTGAACAGTATATTCAACAGAAGAAATTAGATTTTTTTGTATTATTGATATGATTCTTAATTTTATGGAGATCTTCCCCTTTAATTGAATATATCTACAAAATTTGCTTCCTTGCTTCCTTTCTTTTTCAAACTTTTTTCTCAAATGGAATACAATTGTTTTAGCTGTTGCATATTTAATGAAAAGTTTCTAAGCAGCCTATATTAATCTTAATCCAGTATTATACTTCTTTAATTTTAAACCCTTCCTTGAATACAAGTTGATGTAATTATTCTTTAGATTCTTAAGGGACTTTGATATAGGTTCTTTTATATTCCTAAAACATTCCTGGAATTATATTATTTCGTGTTCTTAGATCCTTTTTTTCAGGAGACTACAAGATCTCAGAATCTGCCTTGAGGGAAAGAACTTCCTAATGAAAACTCTCAGATTTATTCATTAATTATATATATATAAGATCTTTTCAATCATTACTTAAATATAAACAGTCTATTGATGCGTCATAATTAGAATAACATAAAAAAAACTATACTGATAACTTGTTAAACTATTCATTTAATAACGATAAGCAAATTTACATAAGATTGATAGATCTATAATGAATATTTCTTAACACAATTTATATATTTTTGATATTTCTTTATTTAATTAAGTGCTTGAGATATAATTTAATTTAATAAAAATACTAAATTAATTAAAAACTTGTAAGCTACAAAAAAAAAAAATATCCTAATTTACAATTAGGAATCCATTTATTAACTTTTAAATTCAATCGATTTCTTACTCTCTAAATTTAGATTTAAGAATAATTTATGATTTTTTTGATAAAATATAATTAGTGAAATAATTTATAATGAATTCTTTTTGAATTCTATTTTATTTTTCATTAACTCAAAACATTACACTCTTAATAATTTTCATATGACTTAAAAAAGAATGAGATCATTATTATAAGATAATAAATGAAAACTTAATATAAATATATATAGTATTCTATCATTTATAATTATTATCATCTATCTCCATAAAATCTTATTGTTGATTTGGATGAAATTGTAATTCCCCAAAAACTAAGCAATTTTCTTATTTGATGAAACAACAAATTTATTATTATAAAATTTTAATAATCAAGATGTGATTCTTATTTCAATTAATTTTCCATAAATTAATACACAACTATTTAATGTAAATGAATATAAACCTTTCTTTTTTAATTAATGAAGTTCACAATGAAATAATTACTAAAATTCCTTAAAATCATAATCTAACATAAACATATTTTTTTTTGTACTTCAACCATCCTTAAACTATAAAAAGTAGGAAAAAGTTAAAAAATGATCTTAAATTGTCTGCGAACTCTTCTCTTAAGGATTATTAATAAATTCACCAATCATTTTTACAAAAATGATAACATATATCAAATTTCAGAATATGAAATTGTCATCCTGTCTTTTTAGTTACTTATTTCCTATTTGTAACAGTATTTTTATATATGATACTTTAAGTAAATAATTATAAGATTTACAAATTCTTAACAAGCTGGATTGATTTCTTAAAAATTTTTAATATTTTACTTTAGAATATGTTTTTCTATAAAAAGATAGTTGATTATATGTAAATTATAGATTCCTATAATTAAGAAATAATATTGAATTGTTTAGCATGGTAAAACGTCATTTAATCTATTTTTAGAATGAGAATTATTGAGAAATATAAATTTTGAAGGCAGAAATAATAACTAATTTTGTTTATCTATACTCATCTATTTCTAATTATTTAATTATGCTGAAAGAACATATTATCAAGAAGATTTAACATTTCATATCTATTTTTATCAGAAACTATGTAAAATTTTAAGATGTTTTATTTATTTAATAAAATAAACATGAAAAAATATATAATTAAATGAAAATAGAAACTTTTTAGAGAATAGTGATTATATATATAATTATATTTTGAAAATAATGTTTTTTTGTTTAAATGTAGTTATATGTATTTTTAGATGAATTTGGATTGATTGATTAATATAGATTGTAATATTGAAGAAGAAAGAGTTATTGGAAATTGGAATAATAAGGATATGAAAAGTATTATGTATGAAAATATAAAATTAATAAATAATATAAATCAATTTAGTTAGGAAAACAATACTTTATTTGAATGGATATGCTCTCTTTTTCTTGTGTACGACCACATACTATCTTTTCTAAAACATATTACTTAAAAGTAATAGAAGATGAAGTTATAATTTCTGCAGTAACTTAATTATGTTATTTATTTAGTTCAACAATTTCAAGAATCCAAAATATAAAATAGAACTTAAATTATCAACTTAAATAGTTTGGAAAATGGGGAAATAAAATTTAAAAGCATTTGGAATATTTTATCAGAATAAAATCAAATATTTTGAAGCTTAACATAGTTATTTGGAATAATTAAAAAAATTGATTGGAGGACGAGTAATCTATAGAAATATGGCATCTTTTTATGAACCAATATAATTTATTGGAGAAGGAATGTCAGCAAAAGTATATTAATTAATAAATTAACAATTTTAGGTATTTCGAAGTATAGAGAAATTAACCAATAAGGTTGTAGCAGTAAAAATGATTAAACAAGAGTTTGGGAGAGAAGAACAGGCTTTAGTAAGTTTTTAAATAAAATTTAATTAGGACATAGTCAAAACAGAAGTAAAAATATTGTAGTCACTTAATCATCCCAACATAATAAAAGTGCTTGAAGTTTATGAAAATGACTAGACTTTTTGGATTGTATAAGAGTTTGTTCAAGGAACACCTTTAAGTGAAATTTTAAAATAAAAACTACCAACAGAATAGATAAAGATGATAATGATCGTATATAAACATGATATATTAATAGGGTTTGTTAAATACTGTAAGTTATTTGCAATCACTAAGAATTGTACATAGAGATATTAAACCAGAAAATATTATAGTATAAAAAGATGGTTCAATTAAAGTAATTGATTTTGGATTTGCAGCAAATTTGAAATTTGGATCTGTAAGTAGTGTATGTGGGACACCAGGTTATTATGCACCTGAAGTACTTAGATAAAAAGAATCAAGTTTTAATTCTGATATGTTCAGTGTTGGAGTTGTGTTATTTAATTTGTAATTATATATATATCTATATTAGAATAACAAATCAACCTATGCTTAAATCAAAGATGTATAATCCTTAATAATATGTGGCAGATGAAGAAGCAGCTGATTTATTGAAATAAATATTGGAAGTAGATCCAGCAAAACGATTTACAGCTTAATAAGCATTATAACATCCTTATTTTAAAGGATTTTATTAAATAAATGAGAAACAAGATATTCATTATTCATCTGAACATCAAATATTACAATAATAATTACAAATTAATTAATAACAACAATATTAACCAAAAAAAAGTAATAAAAGTTTAGATGCTAAAACAATCAAATCTCTTCGAACTACTAACATAATGGATTAATGATTTTGATATTGAATTAGTAGTTGTACTATATGTTTATAGATTTAATATTAAAATCTTAATTAATATCAATTCTATATAAATATTTATATATATATGATAAATAAATAAAAAGTTTTACAAGATCACATATTTTACTTTTTTTATTATTTCAATTAAATTTCTCTATTATTATTAATTAAAATACTTCTCTTATTGTCATTATTTTTTAAGTGTTTAATATTAAAATGAATATATTAGATTATAAAAAATATATTTCACCATAATACAGATCATTGTCACTATTTGCTAAAAAGAAAATAAAAATAAAAGGTAGATCAATTAGTTTTGAACCTTAAAATCAATTAAATATATTCAATATGAAAGGATTGATATTTTAAAAGGATTCATTAAGAAGAAAAAGTTGTTATTGTATTGAATGTGGAAGTTTAAGTAAATTCTAATATAAATATATGAATCTTAAACATGTACCAAATATGAAAAAGAAAATTGAAATTTAATTAAGAGCTGAAAAGAGAAGATAAAGTAATATATTTATATTAAAATCAATTAGCTAAGAACAGTACATTTTACAAATATCGTACAATTATATTTGATTAAGTAAGAAGAAATAAAATTGAATAATAACAAGTTGAATCAGTAGAAGCAACTCCTAAAGAATCTACTTGCCTTAAAGAATCAATGCATAGATTAAAAGAATATTTTGATAAATAAGAAACTCAAAAAATTGAAATTCAAAATAAAACTCGAAATTTTCGCTATTTTAGTAATAAAACACCATTAAGTTCTCCTAAACATTATAAATCTCCTCGGAATAAAGAATCTATACCTTATCTTAGTTATAGAAGAATTGAATTGACATAATTAAAACCATTAAAATTTAGTGATACTCTCAAATCATTTTAAACACATAAAAAAACCTTATCAACTTAATCTTGAATTATATATATTATACATAAGTAAATAAATTCAACAACATGAGTAATACTTGTTATCAAATAAATTACATTATTCTTATATTTAATCTTTTTATGGTGGAATCCAATATGATTGTTTATTATTATGAAAAAATGTAAGTTTCATATTTACAATAAATCCATAATTATAAGGATGATAAAATTTTGGATAAAATTTTAAATATGTAATTTTATCTCTTTTTGTATGTTCCCAAGTTGTCTATCCAGTAACAATTAACATAGTATGATATAATAATAAAGCACCTGTAAATAAACCAAATCCAAATGAAATTGCTCCAAATAATAATATCACAAAATATTAATATTAATATTTATTATCCTTTTGTTCTTCTTCATAAATTGAATAAAGACTCAATTGTTTATTAAACTAAAATAAACTATCAAAACATAGTAAACATTAAAAAAATAAAAACAACCAAAATATTCTATGATTTAATTCACCAATGCATCCTCCTACCCAAAAACAATGATGATCATATTTTGGTATGCATTTCTTACATTTTGTGCAGTGTTTAGTTCTAAATGGTTAAATTATCTTGCATTCCTAACAAATATTTCTAATAGGTATTTATGATTCTTATTAAGAATTATCTCTTTGTTAAGTTGAAATTGATAATTATGATAATTCCAAATCATCATCACCTTATAATGGACTACCTGATGAATCACTACATTTTATATAAAAATATGCAGCTAATATTGCTTCAATAAATAATCTAATTCCAATTGATAGAACTAATTCATTCTAAAATAATGTTAATATAAGAAAGCCTGAAAATTCTGTTGTAAATAGAAACCTTTTACAAGCTATTCCTATATCTTTAACTTCATTTGGAACAACCATACTTATTTATATTTATATATAATTATCTTATATAATACTATATTTTAGATGATTTTTATCAAAAGCAATTATAAAATTTATTTATAATAACTCATATTTATTAAATTAAAATATGCTTCAACTTTTCTTTTGATACTAAAATGGAATATAATATTTGATTTAATTGGTTTAGTAAAAGCTTACTTTAAGTATTTATTGAAATTAATAATCTAAAGAAACATAATTTTAGGTAATACTATTATTTTTAAATTTCTATCAATATTTTTGATTTAAATATGTTTAGAATGTATTTTACGTTTAAAAAATTATATTTGTAAAATAAAAGATGGATTTTCTTGGAATCAGAAACAATAGATTTATCAAATTTAAGAATAATTTAGATTAAGATGTTACTTTCAGAGATGAATTTGTTTTAACATTAGATGCTGTGTCTCAAATAAATGTACCAATTACATAAAATTTTAAATTGATATCAACAATAAAACACTCACAAAAAAAAAATAAGCTATGATTGACATGAATTTTTTATTTATATAAACAACTTAAAATTTATTGATTCTTTTAAATACATTCCTACTTCCAAATTAATATAAATTTGATTATCAATTTGAGAAGTTTCTTATTTAGATTAAAAAGTAAAAGAAATAAGGAATGAAGTAGACTATTAATGAAGTTGAATGAAAAAGATAGGAAATTAATGTATTAGATTTATAGAATAATAAGTTAGTTATATTATTTTCTATTTTATTCAATATTATTTTAATATTGGAGATTTTATTATAATTATATAAAATAGAAAGAGAATATTAAGATTTTTAATGTTATTTTCTCTTATGGATATGTAGATTTTATAACAGAATAATTTATTTGTTGAATAAGTTTATAAATCATTGATTAGATAGGAAAATTAATATTTTTTTAAAGAAAATATGATTTCTTAAAATGAGTTTCATTCATCATGATCCACATGAACTTATTAAATACTCTTAAAATATTGAACAAAATTAATGAGAGAAAACTTTTGTTCTTCTCTTTTAACTTATTTAAGTTATTATCTTAAGGTTTGTTTTTTACCACCTATAGTATAACCCAACAAATTTGTAATTTAACTTTATAAATGAGGTAATTCAACTCTTGGATCATATGGAGGTTCATCACCATCAGTAAATGAATCTTCTAATTTCTATTTTAAGGATTTGAAATCATTAATCATACATTTATCAACACCTCTAATATCAGGATCACTTGTTGTTAGAGTCTACTTCATATCATTACCAATTATAAGATAAAGTAATAGAAGTAATCCATCAATTTTAGAAGTCAAATCAAAAGGTCTTCTATCTTCAACATCAAGAGGTTTATCACCTCTAATGATTGATAATTTTTCAGCTAATCTACCTATAGCTTCAATAAATTCATGAAAATTCATTTAATAATGTTTTGTTGAATAAAGTTCATCTTTTTATGTGATCATAGATTATAAATAAATTAAGTAACATTCTCTTTCACTAAGATCATCACAAATTAATTTAGATTATACAATCCAATCTTTAAAATCTTATACAGATATGTAATCATATTTATATAATTATTTGTCTTTCTTACTCAATCTACTTATATATTTAAATAAAGATTTTAACATTGCTAAACGATCATTAAGAATAATATCACATTTTTAATTCCATAATCTACTTTTTCTCCACATTTAAGCTTAATCAAATTTGGAAAAGTATTCTTAAGCTTATTTATTGATTAAAATAATGGCTTCACTCATTGTTGTACATATACCTTATCTAATAAATTTATCATTGCACATTCTAATCATGATTTCTAAAAGTTAACAACGAACTAATCCTTTATCAAATGCTTAAGGAAATTAAACATCTTTTGCACCAGCTGTTGATGTAAAACTTATATCTATATCATTTGTTTTATAACCATCTAATAATGATGTTTGAAGTAAAAAATCAATATAATCTTATATAGTAATACATGGAATTGGTGTATTAAGTGAACCAGATGCATGATATTTATAACAATGAAATAATTGACGATAAAGTATTTTAAGATTATCTTTTATTTCAATCAATTCAGTATCTTTAACTAAACGAGTGACTTTAGAATTTTAAAAATCAAATTCAAAACATTCATCTATTAAATTAGGTGTATCTGGTTAAAAATGTTTGAATATAGAATTTTCAACTGACCAACAATGTTTTTTTATGTTAAGATAAGGAGAGAAATCAAATTTAGCTAATGGTTCTCTAGGTTTACATTATACCATTGGCATATATTTATCAAATAATTTTTATTTATCATTTGTATAATATACATTAACTTAATCCATAATATTTCCATCTACTAAAATTTCATCATTGTATAAAAATGGTATTGATTATATATTCATTTATTTTATATTTTAATCTAATGCTGGTTATTAAATACTTAAAATAGGATTTGTAAAGAAATAATGAATTTCTTTATTTGGTGGACACATTTTAATATAAAAGAATTCATTATTTAAAAATGTCATTAAAAGAGGTCTATATTCTTCAAAATCAAAATGAATGAAAATAGGTTCATTATATAAACTACCAGATTTATGAGCAGTCCATTCAAATTTTATTTCTTACCATCCTTCACAAATCCAACAAGTATCAAGTCGATTAATTTCATTAAATTTTTATTTATTCAATTTTGTAGATCTAATTTTTCTTGATCTACTATATGGTATAACTAATATATCTTCTCTCTTTATTATTAGATTCTCTTTTTTTGGTTCATCTAATAATTTAAAATATTATGGTTATTTATATAATAATTATAATTTATCTTATCGTTATTTAAATTATTAAACATTATTAATTAAAAATCCATTTGGATTTACAAATAATTCTTGTTGATTACCTTCAAAATGAAAACCATAAATTGTTTCATTTTTTTGAAGTGCTTCTGCAATTAATTAAGCTTAAGAACTTGTAAATTTATTATAAGAAAGATCAACATGCAATAATTCATTATATGGACGTGATATTGCTTTATTAATTGATTAAGCACATTCCAAAGAGGCTATAGTATTATGAGAGAGATCAAGTATTTTAATACTAGTGTTTTTATACATAGCCTTCCAAATTATAGTACCTGCACTGGCATTTAAAAAATTATATCCTAAATATAATTCCAAGAGACGTTATGTTTATTTAAGTAAATTTGATATGGCATTACAAGCACACTCTGTAATTTAATTATTGTTTAAATTAATACATTATAGAGTATTATTTGTTAATAGATGTTTCATAATTATTTGACATCCTAAATCTCTAATGTTATTATTTTCAAGATTCAATTTATAAATTTAATTTTTATATGTAAAAGCCATCAATACTTCCATATGCATATAATTAAGTTTACAATTTTATAATTCTAAATCCTTTAAAGTAGTAGGAAATGTTAATAATATGTTACGTAATTGAATAGGAGTAAATTAATTATGATTTAATTACATTACTTATATTTATCTACTTTATTATGTAAGCATTGCATTAGAAAAAGCATTACAATCTTCACCATTTCTTAAAGCATGACTTACATTAGCATTTGTTAATTGTAGTGTATTTTATATTAATCCAAAAGTTTTTGGCATTCTTTCAGGTTATGAGAAATTCAAACTCAAATAAAGATTATGTGGTTATTATTTATATAGTTTTGTGTAATCATCTAGTTTTTAAGAGTGTCTAACACTTTTCAAAAAGTCTTAAGTGCTTATGGCAGACAACTATTTGCTTATGTAAAATGGATATTTTACTTAGCTAATTTCATTTTATAGAAATAATTAAATCGATCATTCCCAATTGATTTTATACCAGGATTAGTTTTGCATTTAAAAGCTAAAGGTGGCTTTTAATTAATTTATTGATCTTCCTCATTATTTACTTTATTTATCAAATCCTATTCTTAATCCATAAAACCCTACCAATCCAAAATTTCTACTTTCATCAGATCTTTCTACATTTCTATACTCTCATTCTTCTCTTGTTCTTAGTCATATCTCTTTTGAAATGGTTATTTCTTTTTTTTCTACAAATTGCATATTTATTTAGTCTAATCAATATATGATTTAGTTATTTCACTCTTGTGAAGAAAGAGTAATTTTCTATTAGCTGATTAACTTGATGTACCTATAGTAGTAAGTTCAGCATATTCATCCTTCATATTAAATAAAAAAATATAATCAAAGTTCAATTTTAATCAATCAAGTTTTACAAATACTCTAAATCTCACTATTTTCAGTATTATACAATAACAAATTTCATTTAACTTATATTGAATATCCAAATTTGTTAAATATAATAATTATGTATAGATTAAATAGGTTATACTGTGAATATTTAAATAATTTATATAAACTAACTAGATTCAATTACTGGAATATAAGAATTATAATCATTATCCATACTCATGCATAATTATTATGTAGTTATTGAAATTTGAAACATCAGTAGATTTCATCATAATGAATTAGATTGTTTTCATTAAAATAACTAATTTAAAAATAAATATATGATAAAAAATAATAATATCAATTAATTTTTATTTATTGTTAACACACTTCTATCATCATCATTGTTTTTTATTACTTTTAAACATAGAAGTTTCTATGATAATCAAGAATCTAAATGAAATGTATATAATAAATTGTATGGATCAAATATAATTTAGAATAATTCAAATCACATCTAAGAGATTATTGATAATTATTAAATATGAATATCCCTTTTTTTCTTATTAAAATAGTAAAATAAATTATATATCTAGTGTTTTTATTTTTTAATGAAACCTTTTATCAAAAGAAATCTAATTATTTCAATCAAAATATCATAACATTTAAATATCTTGATTCCTATATACTATTGCTTACATTATGTGTAATCTTTTAAAGATTTTTTAATAGATTTAACAGTATATAGAATTAATGTTTGTAATGTATGGCCTTGTTTTATATGGATAAATCTATTTTTATAATAATTTCATTTTTATTTTGATTGTTTGTCATTAAATAATGATATTGAAATATTTGAGATTATTATATAGTATTTTAAAAAAGAACACTAATTTCATTTTGACTTTTGAAACCATTTTAACTTCTTATAATCTCCTTTTATTTTCTTAATTCTTCTGATATTTATTGAAGAGTATTAGAATAAATCTTTATTTATTCTAATACATGATAAATATTAATTTTAATTAATGATAAATAGTGTATTTATTAAATCATCTATTTTATGAAAAAGAGAAGATAATATATATTTTAAATATGTTATCTTAGTCTATAAAAATGATTTTATTTAATTGAATAATTTTATTGTATTATATTTATAGAATATTGATAGAATTGATTAATGTTGAAGATTGGAAAAATAAATGATATTGAAATACAAGAACCAAAATTTCAAAATTGCCCAGCACTTTCTTTTAATAATTCATCATCGTGTTTTTCATCATAATTCTTTTCTTACTTAATATTGAACAAGGCTTATATCAAATATTACTTTTATTAATCACTAATATTCAAAGATAGTAAATTAAACTCATTCATATGCATTAAATTAGTTTCAGTTATTTTCATCCCTTCAAGAGTGTGTAAAATAAAATCCGACTTAGATTATATAACAAATACTTTACTCCAGATAATTTCCATAATTCATCTTATAATCTACGAGAATATTTGATAATTGGAATTTTTGTTTACTATTATTATTTTTAATCAGGTGTAGTAGGAGCTGTACGATGATATTTACGTTATGTATTCCATTTCTTTTTTTATCTGTCTGAGAAATCTGAACCTCTTCTTGATAATGGATTAGAAGAAGTAGTTATCGAACTAAATAATTCTAGTGGTTATCCAACTTCCATTTTCTCTCTATTAAGATCTTGAGGAATATAACTTGGAATTATAGGTCCTTAATAGTTTGAATTAGATTTATAAGGAATTCTTAATAAATTTTAAGTATTGGGTTCCTCAATAATCCACTATTTTTCATTCTGTTATTTAGGTATTCTAAGAAAATTAGTATTAATAAGTACCTCCGTTCTTAATCATTATGAAAGAATGGACACTCTTTTTTAATACAATTAGGTTATGCACAAGGTTTAGTTTTATAGATTAAGGGATGATATTCATATTCTTTCCATCCATGACAATTTGGACAATTCTCTTAATCAGAACAACCTCCTTAATCATACCTTGAAATTTAATCTGTCTTATTCCAATTAGGACATTCTTTAGGTTAAAGTAATTGAGGATCTCTTCTAAAATCTTATGCATTATGAGCATAAACACAACTGGCTCTATCATGTCTTTAATATATATTAATGTATTACCCTACTATATAAGGGCACCATATAGTTTTATAATGAAACATCCAGAATTTCTTATCTTGTACCAATTATTCAAGTTTAAGAGGAAGTCTCAACTCATATTCATTATGTGCAAATGAACAATAGATTCCATATTCACAATCTTTATTTTATACACAATATTTGCTCTTATATCTATTTGGATGGTACACTTATTCTACTTTGTTGTGTGAGAATACACATAAATCTCCATTAGGACATTGCTCAAACTAAGGACAAATTTGACACCTTAGGAATCATTAACAGTATTCTCACTTATATTTGAATTGATGAGGATCACGTCGACGATCAGATTCATCATGATAATATGGACAAAACTTTTTATGTGTACTCGGATGTTATTAAGTACAAGGTTATGTTTTAAATTGAGCAGAATCTATTTTTCTTTGCTAATCTAAATTTGTATAAGAATTTTCATGGGAGCGTACTTTTCTTAATTGCATTGAAATATATATATTAAATTTATTTCATATAAATTTAAAACTATCATAACATATATTTTCATTTATCTCTCTCACTCTCATAAATATTATAAGATTAACTTAAATTTTTATTCTTATTTGAACAACACTCATATAAATTACTTACTTTACTTATTTAATAATTTTGATATTTGTATAAAAATAAAAAAACGAATATATACATCGAAAAATATAGATTTAAAATTTCATATCCCCAAATTTAGAGTATGTTTAACATAGCAAATTTATAATCTAGGTAATCAACTGAAATTTTACAATAGCTTGTGTAGATGTTTAATATAATTAAATAAATATTCATTAAATTAAAAACTAATCTTAAAAATTGAATAATAGATATTGAAGGAAGAAAAGAACAATTTACAAGTAATTTATAAGTATATCCAAAATTATCTCTTTTCTACATATGCATATAAAAATAAAAAAAGACTTCTACATCTAGAGTAATAATGTTTATTATTGCTTTTTCTCTGAAGAACCATTAGAATAAATAGTATAAACATTTATAAGCATTTTCCATACTCATTGCCATATTCACTGTTGTAATAATAAAAGACATAATTGATTTTATGAAAGAAAAATAATTTAGATAATTATATTTAGAATGTAAATAATTTTATTTATAAATTATAAATATGAGAAGAATAATTAAAAAATACTATACTATAAATATAAATTAAAGTGAATCTTCTTGATCTATTAGTGTTAATTTCTAAAGAAATTATCTTTAAATAATCTTTGCAGTTGAAGAATATGATAAATTGAATATCAAATTTTTTTTGATTGAATATATAAAAACAAACCATTTACAATAATTATTGTATAACAACTAATAATACAATAAGTCATCATTTATGCTTAATGCAAGTATTTCATAAATGATTAATTAACATTTTTATAAAACATGTTCTGCATCTATTTATGATTTTTTGCCTTACTTATATTTTAGTTGTCTAAATGTATATATATATTAAACTAAATATTGAGACAAAAAACCCATAATATATAATAACATTTTCATAATTAAGTGTATTATATATTATGTTCCTCTTTGTTTTTCATAAATATTATAATATTTGATAATCATTAGTGATATACGATTGAATTTTATAATTTAATATCAAACAAATAATTTATGGAATCAAATTATTTATAAAATTTTATTTAATTCATTTTTAGTGATTTTCTCACTCAATTTAAGTGATAAGCAAAAATATGATATTCTTATTCGTTATTATTGAATTTCCTTGAATTAAAATATCATTTCATGCTCACAAGATAATAATTCAGAGAATAAATGTCTACTTAAAAGATAAAGCAACAAAATTCTTATATTAATTCAAGTCATTCAACTGAAATATCAGAATCTGTCTTAATTGAAATGTTGGAATTATTAGATATAGGAAATAAAGTCTAGGTAGAGACTGATTATCTTGAAATTCCTTTAGATCCTTAATTGAAAAGAATAGTTGATTATAATAATTGTTATAATAAGGAGTTATTTGACTCTTTAATCAATGACCAAATAGATTTAAGTAATTGTCTACTAAACCATCAAATAAGAGATTGGGTAAGAGGAAAAATGGTTGATTGGATGATTTAAGTATTCGCATCCACTCAATCCACTAATGATACTACTTTTTTCAGAGCTGTAAATTTGATGGATGCTTTCCTGAAGAATTCTTAAAATTACACTGATTAAGATCTTTATTTAATAGGTGTCACTTGTATATTTATTGCTTCTAAGAATGAAGACATTAATTGTTTAAAAATTAAAACTATAACTGAAAATCTATCACATAATAAATTCTCATAATATTAAATCAAAGAAATGGAATCAATAATATTATAAACTTTGAATTATGATATTAATTTTCCAACTGTTTAAGATTATTTATAATATCTAAGATATTAATTATTTGGATTGTCTGAAAAGTATTAAATTAATTATATATTAGTTAATCTGTCGAAGTCATTAATGAAGCTGCCAATTATATTCTAAAAATGTGTTGTCATGATTAATAATTAATGTAATATAAATAAATGCTTTTGGCTGCCAGCATTTTAGGATATACAATTTATAATTATGTAGAATTGCATATGTCCAAATTAGGAGAAAAATTAAAAAAATAATTATTATATACAGTAAATTTATTAATAATATCTTTTAGTAAAATAATCTCTTAAGAATTGGATAAATTGAATTAGCTGATTATTTGAATTGTCTTTCAAAAGTGGAAGAATTAATTAATTGTTTTCATTATAAGTATCCACTCTATAACAACTTAAAAAGATTTAATTGATTTTTAATAATTATTTATTATCTTATTATTAAATTTAATAAATTAAAATCATATCTATAAATTATTATCAATAATAAGATTAATTTAAATAATAATAAAGTATTATCTATTAATTTAAATTATAAAGTATTATCTATTAATAATAATAACTAATTGATTAGATTAATATATATTATAAAATTTTAATTAGAATTTAATGGAAATGAATATATATATAAATTTAGTATTGAATTGAATGAATTATTTTATATTTTTGATTACCAAAATTACAAGTTTATGGAATTGTAATATATATTACTATAGATTATTATTCATTTAATTTATGAGTGATTTAATATTATAAATTATAGAATTTTATTGAATGAGTAAGGATAGTGTGCCTATGTTCAAGTTTATTGTAGTTGGAGATCAATGTAAATGGATATGTCAGACTTAGCTGTTGGCAAGAGTAGTTTTGTTAAATAATATTCCGAAAGCTAATTTATCGAAGGGATGAGCAAAGCAACAATTGGAGTGGAATTTATTAAGAAATTAGTAACAGTTGATAAACGTAGAGTAGAGTTATAAATATGGGATACTGTATAAAGTTTTGAGTGATTAATTAGGCAGGATAAGAATAATTTAGAAGTATGATAAAGAGTTTTTATCGTGGAGCTGCAGCTGTGTTTGTTTTATATAGTATCAATTAAAGAGATTCATTTGAGAAGTTATAAGATTGGTTAACAGAATTACATGAGAGTGCTCATGAAGAAATTGTCAAAATTCTTGTAGGAAATAAATCAGATATGGAACGTAATGTTTAGAAAGAAGAAGCTGAAAAATTCATGAATACAAATAATTTTAGTTTGTTTTTTGAAACATCTGCAAAAACAGGAGAAAATGTAGAAAAAGTATATATATCCAAAATAAATATATAAGGCATTTGTAGAAGCTGTTAAATTAGTGATCATGAGAATGTTTACTAGTGATTCATTTAAAAACTCTATCAAAACTACAAAAAAAACTCCAGCAAGTTCGAAATAGAATACCAGTAGAAGTGATTAACCAATTTCAGATATTACATCATTCACCACAAAACCAATATAATTGTAATCCAATCACACTTAAGAAAATAAACATACAAAGAAGGAATGTTGCTGATTTTTTAATTTGCAATTTAGAATGTATTATATATATATATATCTATTAACCTTATTTATTTGCTGGCACTCAATTTTATTTAATCTTAATTTATATAAAATATGAGTTTGTAATTACTCATATATATATACAAGTGATTTAAGATTTCTTGAATCATATAATACTTGATTGAAAATTCATAAATTTAATTATCATAATTATTTTATTATATTTTATTATTATCTGGAGAATTATTAATATTATTATATTGATTTATAATCAAAGTGATTATTAAATAGTTAAATTAAACACTTTTTTGTTTACATGAGAAAAGTGATCAAAATTAGAAAGTGAATATAGTTATACATAATTGTTATTTGATTTCACATAATTTTTAGTCTTATACTTTGAATTTTTAATAATTACTTTATATAAATATAAAACATAGAAAGAATCAAAACTTGCTTATGGTAAATATAAGAAAATCACAAAAAACTTTTTTCAACTTATTTACTCTTTTTTCATCTTTGAATTACAAATAGAGTATTCAGGACTATTTTTCAATCTACTCCAATTCTCAAGAGATACCCTTTAACAGATCAAATAATAAAAACTAATTTTATTATTTTGAAATGTTAAACCCTACAATTCCAAAGGGTATAGAAAATTGTGGAATTTTCTAATAATTTGCAGAATTCATTATTTTAAGTGATAAATTTACATAAAAATATGTAAATCATTATTTTTATTTGTTAGACTATTTTTGTGAATAGCTTAAAAGTAGATCTTACATTTAAGAAATATTTATAAATATCATAATTTTAAGTTTTTAATAATAAATCTAATATGATAAATATAATTTATATTTTAAGTATTTACTTATAATTGAATTTACTAATATATAAAAAAAGCAAGAGGACTTAATGAAAATCTTAAATTTTATTTAAATTTTTATTAACAATATTATTAGTTTTTAAATTCTAAATTAATTAATATAAAATTTGAGAATATTTTTTTATCTCATATTCTTCCATAAGTGGTATGTCATTATTGACGTTGATGAGAATATTATATAAATTATTTGTTGATGATTAAATCAACAATAATGTTTAATAATGGAAGAATAATTGATATCAAATATATCTATATTATTGTTATTTATATTAATCAACCCCATCTGAATCTTCCTGGTGGATAGAAGGGTCCTGCTATAAATCTTTCTGAGGCCAAATAAGCCTTGATTTAAGGAATATTGGAAAATTCATCATGATGTTTCTTTATGTTTGCTTATGAATTGAAGACATCTACATTGAATGCCTTTAATGTTTCTTCAATTTCAAAAAGTTGGAAATCAACATAAGTGATATTATTTCCTGATGCCCATGTTTTTCCTGCCAAGAAAGCATTCAATTTTTCAATAAGCCAAAGAATTTCTGTTTTGAAGTATTCATCTTTCTTTGCAGCATATTGTTCTTCTGTGAAAGTAATTAATGTGAAAAAAACTTTCAATAAATCTTAGAGTACTCCCTTTGCCTAAGCGAGAGCCACTTATTCATCTGGAGTTGATCCTAATAAATCAGCTCTATTAGCTTTGTGTGCCAAATAAACATAAAGAGCACCACTTTCGAAAACCCATTTATCTCCATCTTTTATGTAAGGCAAGTTCACAAGTACTTCATTATTAAGTGGAGGTTAAGCAACTTCGCCAAACCATTCTTCAGGTTTCACGTATCTTTTTTCTTCAAATGGTAATCCAAGGTATTCCAAATAGTATCTCACTAAAATAAGTATGATTTCATACATGGTTAACCAAGTCCTCTGATTCCCCAATATCCAAATAACAATTTATCTGCCATTATGTTAATATTTAATAACCCTAAATAAAAGTATGCAGATTATAAATTGCGAAATATTAGAATTTATCAAAATTCGAATATTCTTTTTCCGAATTGAATAGGAATTCAGAATTTTTCTATCTTCTCTGTCTAAATCTCTTCTAATTTTTCATTATTAACCTGAACACTTAGTAAGTCCTTCCTTTCTAAATTCAATCCTCAATTGTTTTCATTCTATTGTTGAAGTAATAAAGATTAATCATTAAGTAAGCATAAAAATAGAAAGGAACTTTCAAGCTATCACCTTGATTTCAATAAGAAATTCATAATGATACCCAATTTTTGACTTTTTATCCTTCAATAGAGGCAGGGAATTTGTATCTTCTTAAAAAAATAATAAATAAATTATTATAAAATGTATATTCCTAAACTTATATAACAGTTTTATTATTTCATAAGAATTTTAGTATCGATTATAACGATGCTTAATAAGATGGGTGTTGATTTAAATTGCATAATTGGTATGATAATGTAGAATAATTTTTCCAAAACAATACTATTATTATTATCAATTTTTCTTTATTCAGAATATTATATGTAAATTGACACTCAAATAATATTTCATATAATTTTGCAGAAGTTATAGAGAAAGTAGAGGTGTAGAATATTTACAAATAGAAATATTATAATTTTATTTTAGGAATTTAGAAATTCATAATAATATTGTTGATATAAAATTTTCACCACCATCTCCATCTTTTAATTGGATAAAATGGTTAAGCAATAAATCTTTCTGAAGAAATGAATCTCTTGATTTATGGAATTTCAGCAAAGGCATCATGATGTTTTCTCAGGTTTTAGAATTGATCCAAAATTCCTGGCTTATATGCTTCTAATGTTTCTTCCAATTCAAACTAAAAGAAATCAACATAGGTTAAATTATTCCCTGTTGCCCAAGTCTTCCCTTAAATAAATTTATTGAGTTTTTCAATTATCCACAAAACTTCTGTGTTGAAATATTCATCTTTCTTAGCTAGATAATCTACTTCTGGAAGAGCAATTAAGGATCGAAATGATCTATATAAATCTAATAAGACTCCTTTGACTTATTCTACAACAACCTGCTCTTCATTTGTAGATCCCAATAAATCAGCTCTATTTGCCCTATAAGCTATGTAGATATAAAGTGCTTGACTTTCAAAAATCCATTTATCACCATCTTTAATGTAGGGAAGATTGGCAAGAACTTATTGATTTAAAGGAGGTTTGGCAACAGAATCAAACCATTCAGATTCAGCTATATTGAAGTTCTTCTGGGTATATGGGATTTCAACATATTCCAAGAGATATCTCACTTAAATATAAAATATTGGATACATGGTTAACCAATTCCTCTAATAGTCCAATATCCAAATTCTAATTAATCTTGCATTGTTAGTTATTAAATAAAGCAAAGATGATTCAATTTAATATGATATGCTCTATAGAATTAATCAAAATAGGGAATTATTTAAAAAATGGAGGAATAAAATAGGTATTTGTAAATATTATGAAATATATTATTTAATTAATTGTCATTATAAAATTTATAATAATAATAAAATCCTCAATATATTTGTGTCAAAGCATTATACAATCTTCATCTTCTTCGATTTGGCCTGGATCATTTAAATTCTTTACAGTCACATATTTTTCATATTGTTCTTATTTAGATAAGACTTTGATTTCCTTTTTATCTTTGAAATAAGTAAAAACTCTTACTTTTAGGTTTCTCTTGTAGGGACCTATATAATTCTTTAATTTTTAATTAGTCTTCTGCCTTAAGTGTTTGTAATCTAAAGAGGGGTAATTCTTAACCTTTTTCACCAGTAGGCCATTTCTTAATGCAATGTACATGATACCAAACCTTCTTATCAAATTATTAGCCTAGTTTTTTAGTTAATTGGAATTTATACCTTCATCTTTTCTTAAAAATATATGTCCAATTTTTAATTCATGCTTGAATATGACAACATGACAGGTAGCACATTTAATCCTATTAGAGAGTGCATATTCACACTCAAGAAATTATTTCATCTTCATTTTAATTATTAAATAATTATAAATTGGTTTTAATCAATTTAAATAAGATAATTGTAAAAGTAGTGAAATTTTTCATAGTGATATTTTAAATTTATTTCAATGAAATTATTTTAATATTAATTATTTAATTAAGCTATTCTAAATAGAAAATATTTATTTGAATTAAGTTAAAGTTATTATATTATTTCAATTATACATTATAGCAAATATATAATTGAACAACTTTGGAAATTCAAATATTTTTTGATATAGAATATTATTAATAGATGATATTGTTTTAAATTAAATTAAAATTTTGGACGCCTATGTAATTAATTTGTTTTATTTTATTGAATAAATAATTAAATTTGAATATAATTATATATTAATTAATACCTACTCTTATATGGTTAAATACAATATTAAATAGGGTTTGAGTACTCAAATAATAAATATTGTTTTTTTCTGAATTACACAATCATTCAAATGATTCACCAAAAATTAAAATAACAATTTAAATTATTTATCAATCATAAATGCTTTAATTTTATTTCATTTTCTTTCTAAATACAATATATGAATGCAAACAAATTTTTATTGAGACATCATCAAAAGGGAGTAGATTGTATGTTGAAGAAGACTTTATTTGATTAAAAAGTTTAAATGAGTCCAGTATAGAATTTAGTAATTTTAATATTTTTTTCCTTTATTTACTAGTCTTTTCTAAGTTGATTGTCAGAATATTCAAGTATTTGAATTACTCTTTCAAATTTTATATTACTTAATGTCTTAGAAAAAAGATTAATCTGATGATTCTAAATTTATCTGCTAATTTAAATTCGATTTATGAGATAGAAAGGAAGTCAATAATTTATTTTAAACAAATAAGAATAAATGGTATCATCTCAGCAGATGGACAGTAGATCAATTTCAGAGTATTAGAATGTCTAAAGAGAATCTTAGAGTGATTTAAAAATTACTTAATGTCCCAGAATAGTTAAATAAAAGGGGAAAAAGTACATGAAGATTAAATTCAACACAAAGCAATAACTCTATAGTATGGTACAAAGATAGGGGATGAAAATAAAAGATGTATATTATAAAAGTTGATAAGATGTTTAGGCAGCCTAAATATTAGGTATCAAATACGCAACTGCAAAGACAATAATATTTCATTAAAGATAGAAGAGGAAAGCAAAAAGGAAGTGTGGTGAGAGAATGTGTGGATACACTAAAATAGTTGGAATTAGAGTTTCACGATTGAAAATAATTTGCATAATTGCAAATGAGATTGTGCATTAATTAGATTACAATTTGTGATCAAAATATATATGCTATGTTCTTGTTACTTACCATAAAAAATTTAATAAATAATTTTAATGAGAGGAACTATGAAAAGATTAATAAGAGAATATAAAGAAAATCAGTAAATTTTAAGTTAGTAGAGGGGATGTTCTTATTTATTTATTATTCTTACATCTTTTTGTTTTAAATCCAGTAATGATAAAATTTTACATTACTTTCTTTAAGTTACATTAATATAATAATATATGCTGATATATATATATTAATGTAATATTCATTTATTGTTTGGCCATTTGATCTTTTTCAATAAATAATCAATCAGAATCTCTGGGTTATGCATTTTCAATGAATTTTGATTGATCCATGATACTTTAGGTGCACGATTATTCTTTTGTTTCCAAGACACTTAGAATAACAAATTTTGACCATCATTGTCTTTTCTTATTTATATAATTTCATCTGCAGAATCTCCATCATCATATGTACCTTCTCCTACTTCTTATGGTTTTGTTTTGAGTGATTATTCAAAATCTAACACATAAGTCATAACAGATTGTAGATTTTCAATAGGTTCCCAAGTTTTTTCATTTTCAGAGTAACCTTGCCATTTGACTTCATATTCAGTACGACCATTCTTGACTCTTTTATTTGTTATAGCTTCAACCATATATTCTTCTTATGAAGACACTGACATAGGAGAGGCAGACATGTTAAATATAAATTAATAAGAAGGAGTATGTCGATTGGTAGTTAAGACTCTCTTAAATGTCTGGTTTTAATTTGTAATTTAAGAAAATATAAAATGGCTGTTGTGGAGGCTGCAATTTAGACAGAAGGTGTAGGTAGATTTGAATATTAAGATGGTACTGTGTATGAAGGTTAATGGAAATTGATAGAAGGTAAGAAAGTGAAACATGGTAAGGGACGAATAGTGATAGCAAGTATGAAATATAGGAATGATAAAAAGGTTCATTGTCTACAGACAACGATTTGAAAGAAGAATATAATGGAGAATTTGAGAATGATTAAATGTGTGGAGAAGGTGTTTACATATACAAATCAGGTGCTATTTATAGAGGACAGTTTCGAGATAATAGACATAATGGAATTGGATTCTATTAATTTCCTGAAGGTTGTACATATGAAGGAGAATGGGTAAATCATAAAATGCATGGAGAAGGAGTGTTCATTGATAAAGAAGGTAATAGATGGGAAGGAGAATTTGTCGAAGGAATTTATCAATCTAAAATGTAGAAGTAACTTAAAATGGAAAAGATGTTAAATAAAAAAGAAGCAGAAATTAAAGAAAATGCATCTCATTTCTTTAATCGTTTTATAGATGCATATGCACATTCAGATAAAAAAACTATGAAAGATAATATGAGTCCATTCTTTGCAACAACAGAAGATATAAAATTATATGTAAAGGAACCATATCCACAATTTCCAGATCGTCCTCCTGAGAAATGGGAAGCAGGAATTAAATTCTTATCAACAGGTTCTTTGAATATACCTCGTTCTAATACTGCAGCTAAAATTCTTGATCCTTAAAATATTTTAGCTGCATAATTCAGTGGAGTAGGTTAAGTGGCTGAAGTTTAAGTGCAAGAAAACACTAGAATTGTTAGATTAGCTATATGTAATACTGCTGAAGACAAATGGGTTATTGTATTCTATCATGACAATGAAGAACAAGAGATTAAGAAAAAGAAGTGAACATATATAAAAATAATTAAATTATGCCACCTAATAAAGAGGAAATTGATTTGAATTCCTTGCCTCCTCTAAAACATCTATGTATAACTATTAGAATTGAAGCAGCCAAATCAAGAACAATCAAACTACTCAATATACTTAAATCTTGAAAATAATTATAAAAGATTATTCAAAGAGATCAGAATTAACATCTGAACATTTTAACTATTTATTCAAAATCAAGCCCTTTCTGTTATAAAAAACTAAGTATTTGACTGCTTAAGTTTAAGTTGTGGAAAAAGTAGCTCCTCCAAAGAATGAAGATAAGAAATATATAAAAAATGTAGTAAAAGAAGCTGCAGAAGTTGTATCAATTGTTAAACCTAAAATGGTTGCTACTGAAAAAGATTTTCTTAAGAATTTGATTTAGTTTTTAATGTTTAAGGTTTTTCTCATGTACCTAAAGAATAGATAGAATTAATTATATATGAGTTATAAATTGGGGTAGTATTGATATCAAATAAATTGCATAACCTGAAAAATACTAAGATGATTTCGAAAGAATGGAGGAATTTGTTCCACCTCCACCTATTATGCGTCTATACTCAGAGAAATCATTTAATTATATTTCCTATGAAAGAAAGGTTAAAGATGAGATTAAATAATCAAAAGGTTTATCTTTGGCAGCTAATCCATAAAATAATTGACTATCATAGAATTTATTTTCAACATGGATTTAGATGTTTAAGAAGAAACCATTAAATTATTATATGAAACTATTTTTGAAGAAATTTGTTAATTCAGTATAGATTAAAAAGAATATGCTGAATGGATAGACATTAAGAAACCCATTCTATTAATAACAAAGAAGCTCCAAAATATCCCTTTCGATCTTGAAAGAATTTAACATTTAGCTTAATTAGAAGAAGAACAGAAAAGAGCAGCAGAAGAGGTTGTCTTGGCTGAGAAATATAAAAGGGAGCCAAAAAGGAAGCAAAGAAAAATGAAGCTGAATTAAAGGCTGAAAGATAAGCAGATCCTGAAAAACAAAGATAAGCAGAGAATTAAGAAAATAGTAAATTGAGGATGATATTGATTAGTATGGGAAGATGAAATTTAAACTACATCGATAATATTAAAAGAAACATTTATCTTATGTATAATTAAAGATATTTGGACCAAGAATTCTATTAAAATGTTTATTAGATTAATTACAAGCTAAATCTACTTATATGATTGACTCTTAAATTCCACCTAGTTTTTGAAGAATAAGAAGATTCTGATCAAGTTAATAAATTTTTTGTTAGCTTTTAGATAGAATTTTATATAGAAAGAAAAAATAGGAATACATTAAGATAGAAATTCAAGCTGTATTTTATGATCCTAAACATAAAATTAATTCAATCTTTATGGCTATACAGATATAGTGACTGAATTGATAATAAAAGGATCCTTAAAAATAATAACTTAATTCTTTTTTCTTTATAAATTGAATTATAATTTACTCCCGAAAATCCACAAATAAAAAACTAAAGGTAAAAGATTTCTTTATAAATGATGAACCATAAGATTTGTAATAAATAGAGTAAATTGACAATCAACCAGAGAGCATAGTTGGTTTAGAATAACCTCATTCATAGCCATAATACAATAATATGGTTACTATAGTATATCAATAGATTGCTTCTGTAAGTCAAATAAGAAAAACTCTTCATAAGAAAAACAATTTGAATGAACTCATATTAAATAAATAAAATTTTATTGGAGATAGTCAAGATTCTGATTTGCTTCCTAAAATTATTTATGACAAAAATTATAAAATTGATCCATTTCAAAGTCAAAAGAAAGTAGAATAATCTTATGAGAATGAAAATTGATTGCAATTTATCTATTAATATAATAACATCAAGCTTTTTTATCTGCAAAAAATTGTTAAAATTATTCCTCTGTCATCCATTTTCCTAATTAGGCATCATTATTTGTAGTGTCTAAGTATTCCTAAAGATTGTTATTCTTTACTTATTTACTTCCTTTTATACATGGGTATTATGGTGGGGTTTATAAATACTTACCATTTTTTATCATATGATGACGATCACTTGCAAAATAATCTATGTACTTTTATCCATCCACCACTCTGAACCAACTTTTCAAAGTAGCTTAAGGTTTTTAAAATCCCAAAGCTTATTTAAAGTATGTATTGAAATCACAGTTCATAGGTAATGTACTATCAAAATCATAAACAAATGAATTTTAAGTAATTTTTCCTTCTTTTTATAAAGTGTGTTTAACAACCATAATGACATGATAATCCCAAATAACTAAAGGTTAGCTTTTTTAACATTTAATGTAAGTTTATTAAAATGGATTTGTAATTAAAACAGCATAATATTATGTAAGATGATCTTATTTTTCTTCCATCATGTCCTTGATAAGATTATAGATATTTTCTTCACAATAGTAAGCTGTATATATATGTTGTTTCATATATTAATAAATATTATATTGAATAATAATAAACTTCATTTAAAATACCAATATGGTTCTTTACTTTTAAATTCTTATCCATTAAATAAATATTTCCAAGAATGTAAGTAAATTTCTAAAGGATGTTTATGATAATCCCATTCTTCTTTCCCAGCTATACAGTCATTCAATAATGAAGAATTTCCATATTATGATTAATGTAGTTTAGTTTATGTATTATTTTATTATTGTTATTCTTTTTACTATTCTTTTTATTATTCTTATTATAATTCTTTTTATTATTATTATTATTATTCTTATTATTATTATTACTATTGTTCCTAATCTTCTTATAACTATTCTTCTTATTTTTGTTATCCTTATGATGTTTATTATTCTTATTAATGTCCTTATATTATTTATTTATCTACTTTATCTTTTTAATCTACATCCAACCCATCCTAATGTACAATCTGTTATTATTGATTTTTAATATTTAACTCTTCTTAATTTTATTATTCCTTATTTTATTCATCTTCTTATGTATTCAATTTAACCTTTTTTCCAATAATTTCAACTACTTCTCCTTCCAATACATCCTTTTATCTAATAGATTCTTATTTTAATCCCTTAAAATTCCTATTGACTATTTCATTTCCTATAAATTTTCCACCATAACCAATATCATTCAATATAGGATGGCCTAAATCAGCTAAATGCACTCTAATTTAATGTGTTCTTCCTGTGATTGGTTGACATTCCAATAATGAAGAATCACTAATTGGATCATACCATAATTTTTTAAATTTTGTTGTAGCACTTTTTGCATCCAATTTTTAAACATCTTCCTCTTTGCAACAAGCAAATATAGCATCTTTCATCGATATACAATATTAAGGTTTATTATTTTCTTAAATATCATCACTAAAATTTCCTTGTACTCTTGCTAAATATGTTTTTTAAACATTAAGTTTGCTATTAGCATCATGAAACTTTTATGCTAATGATCGATTTTTTGAAAAAATTAATAAACCTGAAGTTAACCTATCCAATCTATGCAATACATATAAATCTTTAAATCCATGTTCAAAGTGTAGAATAGCACTCAAACAATTATAATGATATCCTCCTCCTGTATGAACAATCATTGATGGAGGTTTACTCACAACAACAAAACTATCATCTTCATAGACAATATCAACAGGTAGATCTAAGATTGGAGGTTCTACTCTTGTTGTTGCATGTTCTATTTGCATACCATGTTCCAATTTATATTCTGGAGACACTTTAACACCATTAATTGTTATCTTCCCTTCATTAATGGCATTTTCATAATATTCTTTGGTATATGCTCTAAACTCTTTTTCCATGGCATCTAATAGATTCATGCCTAACCAACGTGATTTGACATTAGTCTTATAAACATGTTGGTATGGCTTAACAAATCGAAAGGGAGGAATTTTCACATATTCAGGGGGATTATCATACATATTTATTCAAATTAAACAATCTCCATTGTAATTATTCAATGTCTGTTTCATAACGCTGTCTTTTATGAAGGTACCAGAAATTTGTAGGCATCACAGAAACTGCTTCAGTCAATCTGTTTATTTTATTTTGCAGACCTTGTTTGTACATTTACTACATCGCTGGATTGTGATCTTTAACTCTTTAGATTTCCCATTTTTACAAAGCATTAAATAACTTTAGATCTCTTTCTCGTTTACATTCTAAGAATTTTTTAAATTCTTTTGGACAAGTCATTTATGAACCATCTTAGTATGTACATCTTATAAGATCAAAGAATTCCACTTCACAGATATTTTTAGGAATGAGCTCAGAAGGGAAATCTTTAGGTAAAGAAGGACTGGGTTCAGAAATAAGATCTTTAGGCAAAGAGCCTCTTTCAAGTTCCATAATAGTTATTTTAATTAAATCACATCTTTACTTTTTTGATAGGTTTGTGGAGTATTTTTTACATATTTTTTGCTTTTTCTACAAAATCTTTAACTTTTTCATTGTCTTTAAATAGTGTAGACTTTTTTAAATTTTCAGCAAATGCTAATGTATCTATTTTCACATTATCTTTCACACATTTGCATGTTTTGGCCTCTAATAACAATGGTAACCAATTTAGAGTGGCTAAATTGACAGCTTCTGCAATATTGAATCCACAATTAAAGCCTTAATGATATGCTCCAGCAAAAATGAACATAAATTCACCTTCATGATGAGCCATTTTTGATATGCGAATTTCTGGAACCTTTTCTTTCAACAAGTAAGGATTGATTACTGTTGTTTTATGTCTCAGAAATTCTGTACATTTATTAAAATGATCTCCATATATTTACTTTGCATATTTTTCTAACAAATGACTATCTGCTTCAGGAATTGAATACCAAAATCTATTATAATTATTTATATTTAATACTTATCTTTACCCAAATGGAGATAATTGACACTGCATAAATCAAGATCCTCTTTATGCCAAGCAAAAAAGGTCTTCCAAGAACCAACATAAATATATGGCTCATTAACTCCAGGAATACGGTTTTTGAGTCCATAATTTAAAAGACTTGTGACATTATTAAGATTCCAAGAATTATTGACATCCATTAGAGATAATTTTATATCAGCTCCATATAAGGGAGGACTAAAGGCTAAACTTTTCCAATAAAGTCTCTCGAATTAATCAGGATTTAGTTTATCATGTTATTTATCAGTCTCTAATTACTTATTTCTGTAATCTTTTAAGGGCATAGATTTTTTAAGAATGTGTAAACATTCATAGTTACCTCCTTTACCATAAACATTCTACTCTATAGGGCCTTGAACGATGAGGTTGTCAAGTGATTTATTATAATCCTATTAGCGAATTCTAAAGTTCTTAGGAGGAATGACCTGTGAATTAGTTAAATGTTTGAATTTACTTTCACCATACCAAAGTTTGCTGAATACTATTTATCAATTTTCTCAATATATTCATAGAAATTATCAAACTCTTACTGAGTAGGTCTTAAAGTTGGACACTCTTCAATGCTAATCATGTTTTAAATAATTCTTTAAAATCTTGCAATCAAACACTTACTTTCAATACCCCGGTGTGACCAATATATATATATATAATTATGGACTCACAGTATAGAAGGCCTATCATCCTATTTCTTTAACTAATTAAATTTCACTATTAAGTTCTCATTCTAATTTTGTAACTACTCCCCTTACCTCCCCCCCCCAAACACAAAATTAATTAATTCATATATTAGAATCATTACTTCATATCTTTCATAAAGAATTACAAATTAATGTCAAGGCTTTCCTCTTCTGAGTCTCAACATACTTAAATTACAATTTCAATATTTATGCAAAATCCTTCTATCTTTCTTCTGTAATTAATAAAATCCCCGCCAAATGTGAAAATTAATATTATTCAATATCTCCTTCATTTTAAACAATTTGCTTTACTTTACTTATTAAATAGGTTTTATGTTATATTTGAGCTTGCATTTACAGCCAATCTATATATTTTATAAAATTCTTAAGAGAACTCCTTTGTTTTAGTGGTCATTTAAACTATTTTCAGTTTTACTATTACATTAACCAAAATCACCCCACTTAAACATCATATTCATTTTTATCCTTTATAATTCTCTTTTGTTTTTCTAGCATTTCAAATTTCTACTATAAAAACATTCTCTTGGATCATTCATCTAAATAATTTAAGTCTCTTCATTTTCTTCTTTTTTTCTATAAAAAGACCTTTTTAATAGAATAAAGTGAGTAAATATAATCGATATTACTTAGACTACTAAAGTTGATGATAACTAATATCATAATTAGTATAAAATTATCATCTAACTTTCTAATGGTTAAGAATCAATATATAATTATATAATACTGTACTTACAACATCAAATACTATTATACACAAAGGTGTACTCACTAATTATCTATAAATTAAAATGAATAATACAGCAATTGCTTAAATTAGAAAATTACAAATTGGGGAAAATAGATATTGCTTTGAGTGTTAATCAGCAAGTCCAACTTGGGCCAGCTTACCTTATGGAATATACCTTTGCTATAATTGTTCAGGGCTACATAGAGGGATGGGTGTCCATCTTACATTTGTAAGATCAATTGAAATGGATTCCTGGACTGATAAATAATTGGCTATGATGCATTTAGGTGGAAATTAAGAGTTAAGAATCTTTTTTCAATCACATGGAATTTAAATTACAGATTCTAACAAATGGAAAACAAATGCTGCTCATTACTATAGAGAAAAAGTAATGTTTTAATTCTCATATTATTTAGATGAGGGCGTTAGTTAACGAAACTTAAGTGCCTGAAGAGCCTGATGATTGGACAGCGATACAAGAAATTCCAAAACCATAAATTTAATAATAGTAAGTTAAAATATAACAAGACCCTCCTTCTACTCAAGAATCATAAAATGTACTTTATTGTTCCCTAATAATAGTTTTGGGAATAAGCAACTAAATCTACTAAAGAAGCATTTGCAAAGATAGATGAAAAAATATCTAAAGTTTAAATAAAAGAAGAGGCAGTTTAATTAGGATAATAAATTACAGCAAAATCTAAATAACTTGGAGTAAATTCTTATCTAAATAAATAGGAAAAATCTACTAAGATAGCAGATAAGGCATTAAAGAGCATAAAAAGTGGATTTAATGAGGCATTTGGATTTATAAAATCAAAAGCTGATCAGGTAATAGGTAAAGAAAAATAAACGGAGTCAGAATAGTAGTAATAATAATAATAATAATAATAATAATAATAATAATAATAATAATAATAATAATAATAATAATAATAATAATAATAATAATAATAATAATAATAATAATAATAATAATAATAATAAGATAGCTAAATTCGAGATAATTAATAATAACTTTATTAATTTTAAATAGATAGTTAAAGTTAAAAGGAGCCTTAAGATTTATTTTATTTTGAAAATAATAATTATTAAACTTCTCCTCCAGTAAGCAAAAATTAATAACAATAAATAAATGTTATGGACTATTCAGATTATTTTATAGATGGTTCTTCTTAAAATATCATATAAGAAACTTCAAATTAAAAAATAAATCAATAAGAAAATTCAATTGATTTAATGTAAGATATAAAATAAACTCAATAAACAAGTGAAACCCCCAATTTACTTGATTTATGAAATTTTTCTTCATCACAACATCTATTAATATTAATTGTTTTATCATTATTAATTTAACTAAGGAAATAGGATTCATATGTTTAAGTTGGAGATGGAAATGTTTTTCGAAGTTTTGTAATTCTTTCCTAATTCAATAACTTTTTAATCTCATAATTAGGATCTTAATTTTCTTAACTTATTGTTAGAGTCAGAGTTGAATTTTTTGGTTAAGAACATGTTATACCCATTGTATTTTTATAGCAGTTAAATAATTTTAATTATATAATTATGAATAAAGAGTTCTAAGTGTTTGATTTTTGAATCTGTTCATTTTATTTGTTTTTTAATTCTAAAATAATGACATAAAATGATTCTGAAGCCACAAAACTAAATAATGAAATCCTTACAGGATCAAAGAAAATAATTAAAAAATAAGGACACTGGAATGAAACAGAACATAAAACTTATCTTAACTTTCTGTAAGAAAATAACAATCACACCAAAGGATAAAGATTATTTAAGAAAATGAGTTAAGTTGTAGGCACAAGAACTCCAAGTTAGTGTAGGTAATATTGAACTCTATAAGATCGCATCATCAAAAATTCAATCCTTAAAAGACAAGATGCTAGTCAGAAACGGGTATTTTAAGATCTAAGTAGTATGCTAGAAAATATTTTGCTTAACAAAGAACTTTAGAACATGATAGTGATTGATATCATTTAATTCACATACTAAAAAGATTCGTAATATGTGTATCAAAAATTTTCATTTAGCCACTAAAGGAGAAATATTGTAGCAATAACTTTAGATAAAAATATTTTTCTTTTCAAAATTTTCTTGCCTTCTTTGTTTATTTCTATCTAAATTGTTAATACTTCATTGCCATTTACATTATATTAGTATATATAACACTTAATCCAAAATCTTCAACATTCATATGATTTTTCTTAACATTTTTAAACCCACTGTTAGTTTATGTATATTACTCTTTTTTATTGATTATCAGTTTTCTAATTGGTCTGGAAATGTTTAACTCTTAGTCCTCAAAATCATTTTCAGTCTTTTATTTTTTATAAATTTCAATTGTATTATTTTTTAAACTTTTATACTTTTCAGCATACTTACTAAAAATTACAAAAATATTCTTTACTCATTCCATTTTTCAATTTCTTCTTGGTAATCTTTCATTTTTCTTTCAAAATCAAATTCTAATTATTCTCTAACATTTTAAGATTATTTATAATATTCTATCATCAAAAGTGAGAAAGACTATTTCCAATTGATATTTTTTGATGAAAATTTGTATCTATTATTCATAATATATTCAAATTAAGGAGTGAGAGGCCTTATTGGTTTTGAAGGAATATTTTTGAGTTCATTCAATTAATTGATATGTTAATGATTACCACCATAAAAATAGATAAGCTGCTCCTAAAACTTTTCTTCACATTATTAAAATTAATCTTCATAATATTGATGTAATTAAGATGACATATCTGACCATGCTTATTAGATTTGACAACTAACCTAATTGATATCAATTCCTTAACTCAACAAGATTTTCAGTTACTCTTAGTAAAATATTTGATAAGGGGATATATATTATCTTTTAGGAGGTTAGTTAAAATTACCACTTCGAAGCTACATAAATTTAATTTAACAATTATTCTAATAAATTAGTGAAATACATAATAATTTATATAAAATTCATCTTAATATTTGAGTCATTAAATTCAGTTCACTTAAAGCTTTATTTTTGGTTAAAATATATAAATTATTTATGTATTTAATACATTGAAAAATGTTAATCACAATTATGTTTATAAATGTTATTATTTTATTAAATGAGATTAAGAATAGTGTGCAAATAATTTTTTAACACATCCAAAAAAGCTCCTCCTAAACCTTCAAGTATTATGGGTACCCAACTTTCCCAAAAATAAATGGATGAATTAATGAACCCTTTAGGATTCTTAAAAGAAAATGAGAAAGGTGAAGTGTAAGAATAAATCGAGAAGGCAAAAGAATTAAAGGAATTGATTGAGAAATATAAGATAAACAAAAACCCATAGAGTGGAAACCAAAACAAACCTTATGAATTGGATAAAAATGGGATGCCACCTGAAGTAGGATTTAAAGTAAAAGGTCCAGAACCAACTAGATATGGAGATTGGATTGGAAGGGGAAGAGTAACAGATTTTTGAGATGCTCAAAATTTTAGATATTATTTTAATTTAAAATATATGGAGTATTGTGATTCATGCAGGGCAGTATTGAATGAGAGACATTTATTGGAAGACTAACTGGCCAGGCTCTAAAATAAGTCAGAAATAGTTGCGACATAACTATAGTTGTTAAGAGAGGAGAATGAATTATTAAAGAGTAACATAAAAGTGCCTAATAAATAAAGACGCAAAAACAATAGGACGAAGGCCGAACTTGAATAATGTTAAAAGATGATTTAAAAATTGCAAGTGATAATCTAACACAAAGATATGATTATCCAGAGCCAAGTACGATGTGATATAATTAGTGAAAGTTCAATTATAGATATGGACTTAGTGAAGAAGAAGGTGAATCTTTGAATATAAAAATGTATATATGTCATATACTAATTTCAATGTTAGAGAGTTTTATGGAGTTTAACATGTGAAGTTCTATTTTCTTGTTCAATTCAATAGTGATAATGAAGTAATGTGGTTATTTAAAATTAGAGTAGAGTTTTAGTTATGACAATCTCTTCATGCATTTTGTCATTTGAATAATGATTTGATAAACTTGATAAAGTACTTTTGCTTCTTTTAAAGGAACTTTTAAAATAAATACTAAGAGATTTATAAAAACTTCTACTTTACAATTCTTGCATTGTTGTGGATAGGAAATTATAAATAACGCAAAAGTCTTTAAGTATACAAGTTCCCAGTTGAAAAAGAAGTGGTGATTCTCTACAAAGTAAGTAATCTAATAATTTGACAACCTAATAATATTGAAAAATGATACTTATGACAATTCTTGTAGCATAGTCGCCAAGGGATATAATATTTGGATTTGAACAAATAATTCATATTGTAAAAACTTTACAATATTTTCAGTTTCAATAAAATCTATTACTTCTTTGTAATAATCAAAGTTTTCACATATTTTGAATAAAAAATTATAATAGTATATTGCTAATCTAGACTTATCAGTATGTTCTCCAGGTAAGAGTTTATATTAAATAAATCTGATAGTAAATTCTTGCTAGATTTAATAGATGAGTTTGTGACAAATAATTAAAAATTTAAAAGAGCTAATTGTTGTTAAAGAACTATGTAGAATTTCAAAAAATTTATTGTAATGTTCATCTTTGCCTTCCCCTTTCAATTCATCAACGATACCTTCATAAAAGTAGAATATGAATCTTACATTAGATATGCAATTCTTATAATTAAGAATACCTTTTACTTTTTTTATATTTCTTTAAGATCTATCATAATCAATATTTTATCAATAAAATACATAGATGAAGTCAGTCTAAGCTCCTTGTATCATATTTTGTTAATTTTAGATTTATTTGTTCTAATTTTTTTATATATAATATACTTAGTAAAATTAAAATGAGGAAACCACCTCTAAAAATATTATTTGAAGACAATGAACTCGAGATAATCAAAGCCAAAACTCATGATGTACAATCACAAAACAAAGCAACTAGTTTCTATTCCAACATTTCTGATGGTTAAGAATAATTGAGTGAAGGAAAGCTTTACTAATGTGACACTTCATACTCTTCAAGTAGTCTTCATAGTTCGAGAACATTACTTGAGGAATCTTAATGGTAGAACTACTAAAAACGTATAGGTAAACAAAAATATACTATAATATAAAAAGATTCTGAAAGTCTCTCAGAATAGGCTAAGAAGGTTTTTGTAATCCCCACTTAATCATCAGAAGAATGGTTGGCTAATTTTACTGAGAAATGTTTGAAAGTTGAGTGTTTTTTCAAAGACACTACTTTTAATACAATTATAGAAACAACTTTTAATAGTGATGATCAATAATTGAAATAAACATTGGTTCTTACATTAGATTACTTCACAAATCTAGTAACATTTACTTTTTTCTTGTTGTGGAAAGCAGTTTGGAATGAAAACCAATAAGACATGACTTAATTTGTTTCAAATTCTAATTCAATCACTGAATATTTAGCATTAATGATATCTTTAAGAGTTAATGAATTTAGAATTGATTTTTAACTCCTTTCAATATTTGAATCTATTATTTAACCTTTCCCAGATAAGAGTATCTTTAAAGAATGTACTGATTCTTAAAGAAGTTCATTATCAATTGATATTATTCAATAAAAAATATTCATGCCTTTAATGAAACATAATTAAGTCTTACCTTGGTAAACTGATGAAGTTGCTTTTGTTTTAAGTTTCATTAACTCATAATTCTATGCTGATTTATAGATTAGAAATATTATTGTAAAGGGGGGATTAAATAATGTATGATATAAATTCTAAATTTAGTATTTTAGAAGAATTAATACAATCTCATAATTTATCATTTATTCTGTTGTGCGCAACCCTAACAAACATGATCGTTAGGATGCATTAGGATATTGGATAGATTTAGCAGAAAAATTATAATAAAATTATGATCTTGAAGGACTCTTTATAGTTTATAAATATGGAATTCAATTATTGTTAAAAGACTATATAGGAACAATGCCAGTTCTCTTTAGAGATTTGAATCGAATACCAAAAATAAATGCATTTTATGAAGAACATATAAAACATAATTTCAAAGATTCAGATAATTAAAAATAACATCTTTATATACCATCATTTCATAAATTTATTACATAAATTAAGAGATTAGAATTATAAATAAAAACTAATAAGAGTCTATTTCATTAGATTTCTGATATTATGTTTTTATTGGTAAAAATGTCTAAACGATAGCAAGTGCTATATCAATAAATGTGTCCAAAAGTAATATTTACATAATAAATAATTTAAGATTTCTGAAAATGAAGAATAGATGATTCATTATTTCACTAAAGGAATTGAAAAGGAATTGGAAGCCAATCTTTAAATTCCTCTTGATAAAGAAACCTTAGTGTATATAGAATTGATTAAATTGGCAAAAAATATTAATTGATTGATTATAAGATGGATAATAATAATTATGAGCTGTTTCATATATATTTTATCTTTATATTAAAATAAAAATAGAATCTGAATTCAATAAACTATTAAAATAAAATATAATTTATTATAAAAATTACTTTAGATTAAATTCTATTATTATTTCAAATTAAAAGACAAGAACGAAAACATTTTAAATAACTAAAATATCATCCTTTAATAAGTCAAAAAAATATAGAATACCAAAATATTAAAAGATTTTAATCTAATCATTAGATTACCTTTAAAATTTTTTGATTTAGCAATAATATTTAATAATAATTATAAAATACATAATTAATAGATACATATTAAATTTAAGATGTAAACTTAGGATATATTATAAAAAGTATTTGTTTATTATAAACATATTTTATGCATATATTTTAAAATCATATTTATGGTATAATCAAAAACCTCCTCTCAATTGAATGACCATATGAACAGTGTCTCCAGCTGACATTTGAGCATCTGAAATTTTAAATTCTTCTTATAAATGTCTTCCTTTAAATATTAACTAAATTAATATTGAATATACTTTAAATTATTCAGAGCTAATTCCCTCTTTCTCTTATAATTACATTTTAAGTTATTGAATTGTATTATCAGCTTCTATATTATATGAGACCTTCTTGCCTGCTAAAGTCTTTATAAAAATTTACATGTATTTAAATTAAATAATTATTAAAAGTAAATTGTCAAAGCTTTTCTATATATAAAGCAACCCGATCAATACTGTCATAAATCAGTAAGAGTTTTATTATATACATTAAATTCTTTAATTATAGATGATATAATTTTTAATTGAATAAAAATTTAGTAGTCTAGTAAATAAGAAAGAAATAATTTACTAAAGATTACATATTTGATTGAGAATTAAACTAATTTATTTAGTATAAATTTGAAAATAATTCAAAATTTATAATATATATGTTAGAGTATCGTTAAAATAACATCTAAGTTATAGTAAGAGTAAAGCCTGAATAAGGTTGTATTAAGGTTGATGAGTGTGATTCCACTTTATTATTGATATCGAACAAACAATATAACTATGATCATGTGATTCCTCCAAGGGCTTCATAATAGGATGTCTTCACAATGATAGGATAACCACTGATCAATAATGCTCTACAAGGTTACAATGGTTGTGTCTTTGCATATGGTTAAACAGGTAGTGGGAAAACTCATACATTAATTGGTAATAATGATGGATTACTTCCTTAATGTTTACAATACATTTTTGCTTGTTCTATTGAAGATCCTAATGTTATAATCAAAGGTTCATATTTAGAAATTTATAATGAGTAAATATTTGATTTACTCTCATCATCTTCAAATTCTTTACAAATAAGAGAAGATCCTAAAAAAGGCATATATGTAGAAAATTTGAATGCAGCAGTAATTTCAAATTATGATGAAGCAATAGCCTTATTAAGAAAGGGGAATTCAACAAGACATATTGCTGCTACAAAAATGAATAGTGAAAGTTCAAGAAGTCATGCAGTATTTTTAATTCAATATTCTACTTCAACTTAATAAGATAAATGTGAAGTACATTTATATTCAAAAATGTACTTTGTTGATTTAGCTGGATCAGAACGATAAAAGACAGCATAAACTGAAGGATAAAGATTAAAAGAAACTCAAGCAATAAATAAAAGTTTGACTTAACTTGGATTAGTAATTTATGCAATTGTAGAGAGAGAAAAAGGAAATAATAAAATTCATATTCCTTTTAGAGATTCTAAACTAACTACTTTATTAAAAGATTCACTTGGAGGAAATTCAAAGACATTTATGGTTGCTGCTGTTAATCCATTACATGAAGAGGAAAGTATTTCTACTTTGAAATTTGCAGAGAGAGTTAAACAAATAAAAGTTAAAGCTCATGTCAATAAAGAGTATTCAGGAGAAGAAATTACTAAACTTAATCTATAGATTTAATAACTTAAAGAAGAATTAGTTAAGAAAACAAGGGAATTAGAAAATGTATAACCTAGTGATGCTTTATAATCTTAATTACATATGTAATTTGATGAGATATAGAAATTACTTTAATAGATACATTAAAGTGCTATATAGATGGAATTAGAAACTGTTGAAGGATAATTATAGGAGTATGCAGAAAAGAAGAGTTATATTATTTAGATTTTAAAATCATTAAATTTATCATTTAAAGAAGAGGAAACTACTAATTATTAAACATTAAATGAAAATATAGAATATTAAAATAAATTGAAAATACAATTATTATAATAGGAAGATGTAATATATAAATTACAAAAAAAGAAAAAGGAATTAGAATAAAGTATTAGTGATTAATAGTAGGCTCATAAGACTATATTAGCTTCTACATTAAGAGGATTTGAAGATCAAATAAAGATGAAAGATTATCTTTATGATTAAATTAAAGAAGATTTTGATTAAATGGAAGTTTCTAAATTATCATTGTAACATTAATATGATGTTTTGAAAGAAGAGGTTTAATAATATGTTGAGAAAATTGAATAAATGTAGATTCAATTATTTTAAAATTAATAGAATTAATCTACTATATATGAAGAGAAGAATTAAAATATATAAAAATTAGATTAAGATTTATAGAAATAAATAGAATATAATTCTTAATTAAGATTATAATTAGAATAAATTCATGTAGAAATCTATTAAAATAATTAATCATTTTAAACAGAAACAAATTAATTGCATTCTTAAATTGAATAATAACAATTAGAAATTAATAGATTATAAGAATGTGTATAAAAATTAGAAGTTGAAAATATGAACATTAAATAAAATAATGATTTCAAAAGAGAATATGATTAATTAACATAATAATATTCTAATCTTAAAAATTAATATTAACATTTAGAATAAGAAGTAAAATCATTATAAACTGAAAATTAATATAATTTAAGTGTAATAGAAAATTTAGAAATATCTATTAAATCATTTGAATTATTTGAAGATAATTGGAAATAAGAAAATCAATTATATAGAAATACTATTTTAGAATTGTAAGAATAATTAAATTAAAAATAAGAAATATTTTTACATATTCAAAAATCATTTAAATTAGATAATTGTGAAAATATTATTAATGAATTAAACAATAAAACAAATTAACTTCATAGAAATGAATAAAAATTAAGATAAGAAATATCATAATTGAAATCAGAATAATAATTGTATATCTAAAAATTACAAATTAGAGATTAAACTATATCAGATTTATAAAATGAATTATAAGATTTATAAAAAACTCATAGAACAAGTGAAGTTTAAAAATAAATTGAATAAAATGAAAAAACATAAAGTTAAAGATAATTGGAATAAAAGATTGCAACTTTAAAATTAGAATATGAAAAAATTAATAAATCTAAAAATGCTTTATTAGTAGAATATACAAAATTAGAAAATAATTAAAAGGAATTTGAATCATTTTTAATAATTCTGGAAAAGAAACTCTAAGATTATATATCAAATACATTTAGAAAAAATAGAGTTATGAGTTAAGAATAATAAATATTATATTTAAAAACTACATAAATTAAGTAATCTAAATTTGTAATCATAGAAGCTTTAGTTGATATAGTCATTGTAATATATATTATAATAAATTTTATTAGCTAGACACAATAGATAGGTAAATTAGAACCTTTTCCTAGATTAGAATTAATTGATTAATGTTTTGTATTAATTAAATTTAATGAATAATATTAAATATTCTCAATTATTTCTATTAATATATATATATTATATATAAAGAACCAAAAAAGGAAAGTAAATGTTATGAAAAATATAATTAGTATAATTAAATATTAATTCACAAAAAAAAAGATTATTGGTTTGGGAAGTCCATTATTAGATATATAAGCTGAAGTATAATTGGAATTCCTAGAAAAATATGGATTAAAATTGAATAATACATATTTTGCAGAACAAAAGCATCTTGAATTATATGAAGAATTAATCAAAATTCCATCTCACTCTCACGTTCCTGGTGGTATATTGAATTTCTTAATTATTAGGATCGGCATTGAATACAATTAGAATAGCTAGATGGATGGCATAAGCTTAGAAAGATTAAGTAAAATTTATTGGATGCGTGGGAAAATAAGATAAATTTGCAAAAATGTTAATTGAAACAACAAATAAAGATGGAGTTACAGCATTATTTGATGAACAATCATATCCAACTGGTAAATGTGCTGTTCTCTTATGTAATAAAGATAGGTATTAAAATATATAATTTTAGATGTTTAGTACCTTAAATAGGAGCATCTGCTCATTTGAGTAAAGAATTTGTTGAATAGCATATTGAAGAGATTAAAACAGCTGCTGTTTTATTTTGTGAGGTTTATTTTCTCTATCCAAGAGCTGAATTAACAAAAAATGTGTTCAAAGTTGCATAAGAAAGTAATGTGCATACTTGTCTTTCATTGTCTAGTGTAAATGCAGTGAATGATAGATTTAATGAAATATTAGCAGTCTTGCCATATGTTGATTATCTATTTGGAAATGAGGAAGAAGTAGGTTAATTTGGAAAAAACTTTGGATGTAGAGGTGGTCTATAAGAATCTATGCAAAGAATTGCTGAATTTAGTAAAGTAGGTGTTAAGGATAGAGTAGTTGTTTGTACATAAGGTCATAAACCTACATTAATTGCTAAGAAAAACGAACTTCTGAATATTTAGGTAGAATCAGTTGATGTACAAAAGATAGTAGATACTAATAGTGCTGGGGACTCATTTTGTGGAGGGTATATCATATAAAATATATCAAAGATTTATAGCAGAATTATTAAATGGAGCTGATTTAATTAAATGTACCAAAGCTGGAAATTATTCTGCAGCTTAAACCATTTAACATGAAGGTAGCACAATACCAAAGTATCAACCTGATAAAAAATGGTGAAAAAGAGGATAAATAAATGAATATTTTATAAAGTAATATTGATAAAATTCCATTTCTATTTAGTTTTTTATTTTATTTCTAATATATTATTTAAATTTAATAAAAATAATTGAATAAATGTATTATCATCATTTTTGTACTTGATAAATTATTATAAAACTTGGTATTCTAAAAAGTAAGTATAACTTCTATTTATAAATTTTCTTATTTATATTATTAAAATGTATAATAAAAATAGATGATTTAGTTAAAAATTTTTAAATATAATTTTATTAATTAAATAAAGGATCTTAAATTTATACACACTTTAAATTCATTATGAATAAATGAAGTAATATCTAGTAATTGAGATTACTTCTAAATTTAGTTTATATCTTCAAATTATTCTAAAAGGATTAATAAAGTATATAAAGTAGATGTAAATTAGTTTTAATATTTATGTCCCTCTTTTAAATAATGTGGAATCATAAGAAAAATAATAATTATTATTATTAATGTTATTAATTACATAATTTTAAATCTAAATAATGATTATATTCAGAAATTGATTTCCTAATATATTTTATCATTAAAAACTTAGTTAATATTACAAATTTGCCATCTAATCAACCTAATTTATCATATAAAATTAATGATTAAATGATAGTTTAAATAAGACATGATGTAGAAATATTAATGAAAAAATCAATCTATAAAATAGATTAAAACAAAAGTTCATTATTGAGTGGGTTGAAAATGATATGAAATACAAAAAAAATTATTCATTTATTCAAACTTTTAGCTTTTTCTTACTGTTCTCTTCTTGGAGATATAAAATAGCTTGTTTTATTGGTTCTTTTTATTTTTTCTTTTATTTGTTCTATATGTTTATTAACTCTTTCTTCTACCATTCTAGATTTAAGTGATGGTCTTGTATCTATCATCTTTTAATATTCTTCCTTAAATGACTTTACTAGTGCCCCTATTTTTGTGGAATTATTTAATTGAATATGATCACATACTTTAGCTGTTGTTTAACCACTTTTACTTCTTTTGAATTTATTTTCTTCTTTACAAAAGTTCAAACAATTTGTTAATAATGAATACAAATCTCTTCCTAATTATGTTTATTTATTAAAGGGTTTTAAAAGCATTTTTTCACAAAATAAATAATTATTTCTATCTATGTTTCCTTAAAGAATTCTATTGATTGCAAATTCAAAATGTTATTTGGCAGAAAACCATTCATCTTCTAGTTAATTTGTTCCTAAATATATTAATGCTCTGACATAACTTTAAACATCAGGAGTAGGTTTAAGTATAGGTATTATTTTTTAGTAGATTTGTTGTGATTATGCTTAAATAAATTCATATCTCATTAAGAGAAATTAAATTATTAATAATTATATGTGAATAGTAAAATAATAATAAATTATGAATCTGATTACAATAATATTAAATTCCATCTTTAAAATATATAAATTATAGAAGTTCTCAAAGATTATTTAAATATAATCAACTTATTTATTTATATTAAAATTAATATTATAATCAAATTAATTAACTAAATAGAAATATAAATGATTTCATTTAAATTGTTACTAATATAAAATAACATTTTGATAATTGTTTATAAAATTTATATTACATATTTAAGATATTATTTATCATTTAAGTTCAAATTCATTTTGATTAATTTTATTGAATGTATGTCCTTATACTTAAATTTATGTTCCAAAACTTGGTTTTTTAGGTTAAAAACCCAAAACATCTTAAGTTGCTGTATTTCTCTTATTGCCAATTCTAGTTTATCTCGGAGATTTAGATTAATGACTCTTTTTTATCTCATTTATTTATATAGGTGGTTCATCACTAAATAGAAAAGATTATATACATCAGTTTCAATTTCCTTTTAATTCTTAAAGCCTTATTCATAGCTAAATTGTTAAAAGTATATAATGAAAAAATGTTTCCAAAATTTTTCCTTTTTTCCATATTCAATTTTAAAGTTCTCATAGCTCTTGCAACTATTACTTTTGGATTATTCCAACTAAAATAATATTAAAAATTCTTTAATATTTCAAAACCCTCCAATTCCATAGATATATGTTATTCATCATAAATGGGACTAGAAAATTCTTAATTTTATGTGAGTGTATGATTATCTTAAACTTTAGTTTTAAGAGATCTTGCTGTTTTACTTCTATTTGTTTTAGTAGTCTTTCTCCTTAATTAATCTCGTTTATCTATTGATTATACTGATGGATTTATTGGAATTTCTTATGACATTTCCCTAATATCTTTTAATTTAGGTTTCCTTATTTGATTTTGAATTGATTATCCCCTTCCCCTAATATCAACTTATGTTTATGATGAAAATGGTTTGTATGAGTCCTCTTTTTTTTATTTGCGTACTAAAGTAATCTTTTTAACAGATGTCCTTGCATTTTCAGCTAAATATGGAAGTCCAAGAGAATCATTCTTCATAGAAAATTTATATTCTTCTAACTTTTAAAGATTAGATTAAGAAACATTCTGTGATAGTTTATCATGAATAGATTCTGATAATTATTCTTCTTAAATAGATACAAGTCTATTATGAAGAGATTCACTTACACCAAATCCAGCAGTTTATATAGTTTATTTAACTTACTTAACTCTTTATTTATTAGGACTTTTGAAACTATCTTTGGAACTATCACTTTCTTAAATAGGTTATAAAAGATTATCTTATGAGTAACTTCTATTTTATGATTATTATCTAGAGATTTTAGACAAACTTTTAGTAAGTGATGCTAAAAATGTGAAAAATAAAAAGTACAATATTCTTAAGGTGATATATCTTATTCATTATCATCATATGATACATCTAATTCATCATCCATAACTGTTACATTATCTAAAACTTATTTGTTTTAGAAATCTCTTATTAAAACCATAGTTTTTTTGCATTCTTTGAGAGTTTCAAATTTTTTATGTTAGTGTTTCCTTTTATAATTAGGATTTCTGTTTTAAAAGATTGGGAAATACTCTTTTTTTATTATACGTTCTTGATCTGCTACATAATGTAAGACTGGACAATCTTTGATGAGATGAGTGTATTTTTAACAAGAATAACAACTTAATTTAGATGGTTAATAATTATTGGAAAGTAGAATACTATCTCTAATTTCACAATATCTTTCCTATTGATAATATTTATACTATTTACTAAATCAAGAGGGATTTATGCTAAAACAATAAGTAATTATTATCTGGGTATTTTGTAGGCTCTTGAAAATCCTACACTTTTAGCAGATGCAGTTCTATTCATACCTGTAAAAAATGAATATTCACCAAAAGATTATCCTTTTGTAAGATATGATAATGCTCTTGTATTACTTCCTTAGTTATCATCTTAAAATTATATACATACTATCCCTTTGGTAATTATATATAATGCAGCATCATCACAAATACCTTATTGTAATATTTAATCTTCAGGTGAAAATCTAACTTCTTCAATTTGAAGAGACAATTATTTTAAAACCTTTTAAGAAAACTTAGTTAAAACTTTATTAGTTTTCATAACATTATAACGTATTTCAAAATTAAGTTCTTCTTAAAGATTACTTGATAATTTTGTTGTAATTTAAGAAACTTCTTCATCATTGATTTCTTATTCTTCTTGAAATATATAATCATAATAGTTTCTAATACGTGATTACAATTCAATTTTAATTTAATTCTTAACCAAATATTAATTTAATAAGTTAATACTTTTTTTATATAAAACTTATCTAGAATTTAGATTACTCAACATTAATCCAATAGAATTGAATGAAAAAGCAAATACTCCACATGCTAAAAACATACTAATATTTGCACAAATTCTTTCTGCATTATTTTATGGAGTTAAATCACCATATCCTACAGTGATCATAGTTTATACTGCCCAATAAAATGCATAATTATATATTGAAAACATATCAGGTTCTTTAACATATTCATCTATCCATGTTTATCTATATCCTTATTAATAAAAAGCAACACCATGCCATAAACAAGCAAATAAATGTCCTACATACAAAACCATAAAAAGTAATTTAATTAATTCAATAAAATCTTAATATGAACCAGTAAGATTGAAAAACCTAAATCATTCATATATATATATAATATTACTCTTCTAATTTATGAACTCGTCCTTATAATTTAAATAATCGACAATAATAATATATACAATATGGACACAATTACCAACCCAATTTTTCACTTGAAGTGTCTATCTCAAATTCTATTGCTATCAAAAGAGAACAAAATGAAAACTAAATAAATTATATCTAATACTAAATCATAAACTGCTTATCCTTCCAAATAATTTGTAAATATTTTTCTTCTTGATTTTATTATTACTCCCTTTTCTATATAAGATGTATTTAAAACTATCAATACATCTATTAATATTGTAAATAGAAAATAGTTTTCAACATTCTTAACTGAAATTTCACCAAAAACAATTTGTTGATATGTGATACCAAAAGATATATTAAAAGGAGTCCAAAAAAATACTGTAATTATAGTCAAAATATGAATGATTTACCATCCTATTACTAGATAACTACTTTAATCTAAAATTGGAAAAAATCTTAATCTTTTACAAATTGTACTCAACCAATGTTTTGAAGATTTATTATGTTAATAAATATATCTAAGATCATCCATTAAAAAGTTTTAAAATTGAGAAAAATGGTATGGTTTCTTAATATATGATTTTTATAACATGTTTTCAATAAAACGATTGGAATAACTTTTTGCAATAACAGCTTTTAAAAAGTTTTTCATAAATTCTTTTTATGTTGTATTTGTTTGTATTAAATCCTTCAAATCTTTATTATCCTTCTATAGCTCTGGCTTCTAAGTAGAAACCAAAGGATTTTCTTCTATTCTTGAGTCTGGTGGAGAAAACTACATTACTCTTGGAACTTTATTCAATTCCAATTATTGTGATTATTATGAAATTACATTATCAATATATTAACTTCCAACTGTTGGTGGCTTTACTGTATTATCACCCTCATCCAATGGATCAATTTTCTAATTGAATCGAGTCGGACCCCTAAATTATTTACTATTTGATTCCTCTATATTATTACTACCATGATGTTGTTCTGCATTGTAATTATCTTCAAACTCAAGAAAGAAATCAGAACTCATTAATTAATTTATATTACTAAATATTCAAATTAAAATCTCATAAATTTTTACTAATCTCTATCTTTATCAATTTCATTTTATAAATAATTAAAAATATACAAAGAATCTCATAAACTAAATCTTAGTTAACTAGATTCTTAGATTTTCAAGAAAAAAAAAATTGTTTAATATTAATATTAATTATAGGATCTTCATAAGTATTCGAATAATTTGTATAGTTAATTATCTTAATTCTTATAAATTAGTTGTTATATTAAAATAAAAATTGAAGTTATCTTAATAAAATATCATCAACAATAAATTAATTTATTTTTTATAATTCGGTCTTGAGTCCTCCTAAAATTTAATTTACATTTTGGGGAGACCTTTTACAAAAAAAACAAAATTTAATTTGTAAAATTGAATGATAAATTGATAGATTGCTCTTTTGGTATGCTTTATTTTTTTATTTTATACATGATCTTATTTAAAGGTAGCATTGTATCTGCAAAAAAAATAAATATATATTAATTTTATAAATATACCATTTAATTAAGTCATTTATTTCTTTATTAAAAACATACTATAATTATTATGTAAACTCCTTATTTACCTATTTATTACTCTAATTCCTCACTTTTGTATTCATATAATTGAAAAATTTTATTCCTAAATAATATTGATACCACTAATTTTAGTTATTATTAAATCTAGACCTTATTTATTTATAAATGAAATGAATCTGATATCTAATTGGAGTCATTGATTACACTTAAAAAAGCATTGTTGTGATTATTTAAATTTCTGGATAAATATATAAATAGAACAATCATAAAAATCATAAAAATCATTCTAAGTCTGTTGCTAGCAATAAAAACAGATGTTAAATTTTAACTATTTTTGAAATTATCCTAACAGCAAGCATTAAGACTTATTCAAAATAAGTTATTGAAATATAATACTAATGTTATATTAGTTTAAAATTAATATAATGACATTACAAACACCTATAATCAAGTTAAAAATAATAATACGCTTGAAAATGTTTTCAAGATTTATTATCATTTTCCAATATAAATTCAAAGACAGTGAATATCTTCAAAGGCACGTCTTATACATATATATATATATATTAATCTTCATAAACAAAACAATTTATTACTACCTAAAATTTGAATATTATTTCTTCTCTTTCAAGAACACTCTATCAGGTTTTTATATACTGATAAATAAACTCTATAAGATAGAATACAATCTTTTAAACAATATAAAATGAAAACAGTTCAAAAATCTCTACATATTTTCAGAAGTGCGTTTCTATATTATATATGCCATTAGGGATCTTTGATTTTTGAGTTAAAGACATAGCTAACGTATTGCTTCTTTAAAAAGTACCAACTAAACTTAAAAGAAAAAAAATACCATATGTTTCGAAAACATTCATGCATTGAGTTGACCTCTGTATTTTTATGCGGTTTGATTAGTTTAAGGAGGGTTGTTAGGTTTTATATATTTTTGTTTTTCTTTATGAATGATAAAAATGTTTTCTGGTTACATTAGATGAGATGATTATAGTATCCTCTTAAAATTTGTTAAGTGATCACTTTAGAAATATTTTTTGGTATATTTTTGGACTTGGACGACTCACATAATCTAGGACTAGCCTTTTTTATGGGCAGTTTTGTCAAAACCATCTTCCTCATCTCAACTTTCCAATTAATTCTTCTTTGACTTGAAATAGGTGTATCACAACTCTCGTTATTTTTATTGAGAAAAGTAAGACTTTCTTCAAAAGATTATGTGACACTCATGTTCTTTTTAATATTTAATTATTTTTTTCAGAAATAATTGACAGGCCTATTAATACTCTTGTCGTTTGGTGTAAATATGCAATAGTTAGTTTATTTAATATCTTATAATTCGCACTTTTGGTTAATGATAATTATGTTTTAAGACCAAATTAATAACAATATATACATTGTTAATCATTAAAATATGAATTATAATGAGGAATAGATTTTCATATTCTTGTAACTTAATATTTATACATTAAAAATACATAAAAAAAATCAACATCACTAGTTTTAGCAGAATTATTGATTTTTTTAGAAAGCGTTGAAAAGTAGTATATTATTATAATACAAAAAATTTATTAATATTAGTTAAATTTATACAATTATCAAATTATGAAATTTATTTATTATAAATAAAAAGAGCATTCAATGTTCGAATAAATTAAATATAGAAATATTCAAAAAAGAATTATTTTTTTACAACTTCAAAATATTGTAAGGTGGAAATCACATTGAACTTTAAAAAACTATTTGATATTTCACTTATAATTCTCATTTTTATGGTAACTTAATTTTCACTAAATTGTAATTTTAGAAACTAAATGAATAAGAATTTATGATAGAAAATTATAAATACATTTTGAAAATTGAATTTTTCCATTCTTTTATTATTAAAAGAACTATTTTTAAAAACTAAATAGAAATATAAAATAAATAGTATCTTATTGATTTCCTTTATTGATGAATTTCATTTAATCTTCTGTAAAATATTTCATATTCAAATACTATTTACTATATATAATATTTTTTTATCTCAGATAAAGACTTGATGTTTAGGAATTTTAATCCATTAAGTTTGAATAGCATTTATGCAAATCTTAATTTATTATATATATACACTCTTAAATAAGATTATAGATTCATAGATATCTTATTAGGATTACAATTATTCTATTATAACTTCAAAAAAGACTAATGAATCTAAATGATGTTTTTAATAGAAATCAAATATACACATTAATACAGTTCTTGATTAAAATAATATAGTGATAGTACTATTCCAAATTTAATTTGCCTTTCATCCTCATAAGATATATAGCTATTTAACATGCCAAACATTCACATTTTGGTGAATTTCATAAAACTATTTTATTCTTTAGATCAAATATGGAATAATTATTATTTCTAATAGATTTTTTTTGAACCTAAATGGAATTCAAGGAGGAAATCCAGAAAAAAATTAAGAGTTTTATTTCCTGTAGGATTTGAAGAAGCAACTATAACATCTCCAAAAGAGAAAAAAATATTTATAAAATAAAGAAAAGTATGTTAATTTATGAATTACATTATTTAACAATATTATACCCTATAATTATTATTTTTGAAAAAAATAAACCAGTTAATAAAAATCATCAGTTTTTATAACTTAGACTTTGGACAAACAAATCTCTACATGTTAGGACTCGAGCAGATTTCTTACTATACGCATATAAATAATAGTTTATAAGAATAACATTGAAAAATTCACAGGATCATCAAAAATATCATTTGTATAGTTTTAAATATCTTTAAAATGGATATACTCTGTAATATGAAAAAGAGAATCAATTAAAATTATATTAAAAATGTAATTAATTTATTTTCATAATTAAATCAACTCTAAAAACAATTCTTAATTAGATAGAATTATTTGAGTAGAATAATTTAATAGAAAACTTTAAAGTAAATGAAAATTGTTTTAAATTATGATTAATAGATAAATTATAATAAATTAAATTGATTATTAATTTAAATTGAAATGTTAAGCAAATTAGCAAGAATTTCTCATTTTAGGCCTTTTTTTGCATTTTGTGATTAGAAGCCACCATAAGGTATTCATAATTATAATGAAAGGATTTGAAAAATTCAAGAGAAAACCTAAATAATCAAATGAACCATCTGAATAGAAAATCGAAAATATTTAAGAAGAGAAAGTTTAAGAAAATAGAGAAGACAAAAAATAAGAGGAAAATATTAAAAAGGAACGACCAATAGAGCCTTAATTTGAATAACCTAAATAAGAATAATAATAAAATATAAATAAAAGATTTTCACAAGAATAATACAAATTTTCTAAGCGAGAGAATACAAATAATTTTGGAGTAAAGCAAAAACCAACAACACCATCATAAGATGTATTTATGCAATAATATTTAGCCTAATGATCAAATCAAGTAGTATTTTTTTATGTTTTTGGCATCTGTACCTCTTGCTTATTTAGTATATAAAGCTTATGAAGAAGGAGAAAACTATATATCATTTAATGAATTTCAAAGGGGTTATTTGGAAAAAAAATTTGTGATTTCCATACAAGTTGAAAAAATAAATGGGGAAATCATTGCAATTATATATACAATAGAAGGAAAGAAAAAATTAAAAATTATGGATTTAGATTACTTTCTTTAAAAAATTGATGATTTAAAAAATGAATAATAAATACCCATTTCCTTTTAAAATCAAGATGAAACTTAAGAAACTACAGCAAATATTACTAAATATGCTTCAATATTATTTTATGGTGGACTATTCTTTATTATGTTTTAAATTTATAAAAATATGACAAAAAGTCTTTCAGGTATGGCTGGTGATATGATGGGTGGTATGGCTAAAATGAAATCTAAATAATTTGAATAAAAAATTAAAATAAAATTTAAAGATGTTGCAGGTTAAGATGAAGCAAAAGGAGAAATAAAAGAATTTGTAGATTTCTTAAAAGCACCAAATAAATATAAAAAATTAGGAGCTAGAATTCCAAGAGGAGCTTTATTAACAGGACCTCCTGGAACTGGAAAAACTTTATTAGCTAAGGCTTGTGCTGGTGAAGCAGGAGTGCCTTTTTTCTATGTTAGTGGATCAGAATTTGTTGAAATGTATGTTGGTTTAGGAGCAGCTAGAGTTCGTGAACTTTTTAAATAAGCTAAATCTAAAGCTCCAAGTATTGTCTTTATTGATGAAATCGATGCTGTTGGAAAGAAAAGAAATTCAAAGGGTTCAAAAAATGAAGAAAGGGATAATACTTTAAATTAACTTTTAGTAGAAATGGATGGTTTTGGAACTGATAGCACTGTTGTTGTATTGGCTGCCACTAATATGAGAGATTCTTTAGATACTGCCTTGACAAGACCTGGAAGATTTGATAGAAATATTGAAATCACATTACCAGATATAAATGGAAGAAAAGAGATATTTTTAGTACATTTAAAACCAATTAAATTAGATCCATCTAAAACAAAAGAAGAATATGCAAAAAGGTAATTATTTAAATTAAATAATTATAGATTAGCAACATTAACACCTGGTTTTTCAGGAGCTGAAATAGCAAATCTTTGTAATGAAGCTGCTATTTTAGCTGCTAGATAGAATAGTAAATATGTTACATCATTTCATTTTGAATAAGCATCTGAAAGAGTGATGGCTGGATTAGAGAAGAAGAAATTTATGAGTGAGGAAGAAAGAAAAATTGTTGCTTTTCATGAAAGTGGTCATGCTGTAGTAAGTTGGTTTTTAGCTGGAGGAGATCCTTTATTAAAAGTATAAATTTATTTAATATTAAGCTTACAATTATACCAAGATCTAAAGGATCTTTAGGTTATGCTTAATATTTACCAAATGAGAGTAATCTTTAAACTATGGAAGAATTGAAAGACAAAATATGTTGTGTTTTAGGTGGCAGAATTTCTGAGAATTATTTCTTTAAATCTATTACTACTGGTGCTAGTGATGATCTCAAAAGAGCTTATGACTATGCTAATGCCATTATAACTAAATTTGGTATGAATGAAACTATTGGATAAATTGGATATTAAGATGATTAATACTCTAAGGATTATAGTGATAAAACTAATGAAGTAATTAAAAATTATATTTGATAGATAATAGATGAAGAGATGTAAAAACTGATATATCAATGTACTAAAAGAACTGAAGAATTAGTGAAAAAATATGAAGATAAAATTAAAGCTCTTGCTGAATTGCTATTAGAGAAAGAATCATTAGATTTATAATAAATTATTAATTTACTTGGAGAAAGACCTTTTCCACCAAAATCAAATTATAAAGCTTATTTGGATTTGAAGAAGGTTGAATAAACTGAGATTAAAAATGAATTACCATAAGAGTAAAATTAATAATAATTATCTTAATCAGAAAAAAAATGAATAAGAAAAATGATTAAATAAAAATGTTAACTTTTTTTTAAATATGTAGTTTATTCTTCAATTATTATTTTGGCAGTAAGGACAAATTTTTGATTTTTCATTCCATTTTTTAAAACAGCATAAATGAAATCTATGTATACATATTAATAATGCTAAAGTATCACCATCATTGTAATTTTATGAACAAATTAAACATTCTAAATTATCTTCTGATGTTTCATTAGTTTTTTTAAAAATAATTTCAATATATGATTATTATTCTTATTATTATTATTATTCTTATTATTATTATTATTCTTATTATTATTATTAGATAAGTTATTGTGACTATTCTTGTTCATATATTTATTGTAATAATTATTTAAATAATTTCTCTTAATTTTATTAGTTTTAAAAATATTAAATATTTTCTATCAATGTTTTCTATTGAATTAAAATATCTTAAAGTGGTAAATTTTATAATTCTTCATTTGATTATTAAATAATCTTCAATTCCTCTTCACTTATTAAATTATTTATATCTAATTTTCCATCAATACTTTCTCCCATATTCTTTTATTATAATTATTCTTATCCATCTTAAAAATCTTCTTAATGAAGTTGAGATTTTTATAATAATTTATATTATTTGTATTTAAGCTTTAATTCATTTTTTTTATTTTCAATTATATTTTTAAGATTATTTTTAGAAATATCAGCCTCAATAATTTCTCCATTCTTTTTTATATGCACTTAAATTCCCTTTTCATCTTGAAAGCTAGCAAAATAACTATTTTCATTGTCTAAATTATCCATATATAAATAAATAAATAATAGAATTAT